TAAATCTTCCAAGTGTACAAGGACACCAAAATATTACCCTGTTCTTTTAAACAATTTGCATAATGATTGTCAAGTTACCAACTGCAAAAAAATTAAAAATTTTATTTGGACTCAAAGAATCTTAGGCATATTATGTGCAAATACTATTCAATTGTCTGTCTGTCCATCCATGCATCCATCTATCTATTCACTGAGTACCTATTCTATGCCAAGCATTATTCCAGATGTTGGGGACATACTAGTGAATAAAACAAAGCCCTCACCTCAAAAACTATGTCCTTTCTACATTTTAATAAAGTTTACATTCCACAAAGTATAAGTTCTTCATAAAGGTAATTTCATAAAGATATTCTATGGCTTAAATTGTAGAAGTCTCCATTGTATATTCAATTTATTGCAGGCTATTGTTACCTTCAACACTAGACTAACAACAGTTCAGAATTACAAGTGCTAATTTGTCCACTGGTAGAAATTTTTTTTTGCAATTATTAATATATTTACCCATGATATTTATAACAAAAACACACAACTGCATTCTAAATTTAACAGTTAATAATCACATATAACTATATTTAAACAGAATCATTTGTGGATTATATTCACCCAATTATTCTGTCAACTTTAAACTCAGAACTTTCCAATTGTTTTCTCACAGATGTTTATTTTAATTACGTTTAGAAAGTACAAGACTTCTTTTTCACAAGTCACCTCTGAATCAACTAAACAGAAACTTAAAAAAAAAAAAAAAGAAAGAAAAAAGAAAGGAAAGGGACTAACAGGATTCTACCCACAGAATTTGACATATGATGTTTCTAGGCTTCTCTGGCAGTCTGAATGCAGAAATACAATCATTCCCCGCCCCCCCCCCCCCCCCCCCCCCCCCCGCCATAGAAAAGGCTGCATAAAATGTATCAATTATCAGTAGATTTACTTGTTAAAAATGAATCCCCTATCAACTAAGTCAAAACCTATGGGAATGGGCCTGACAAAACATTTTATTCTAAAAAGCAGGCCAGTGAATTATTAGACACTCCACAGTTTGAGAAGGTGAAACCCTAAGCATGTGTATGGGATGGTGGGAAGGCGCCTGCCTGTGGTGGCTACATCCGTGGAGTGTATTTTCTCCTGGATAGAAACTTCTTATGACATAAAAACCTTGTCTATTATAGGGTCAGGGTTGCCACTCAGAAAATGCTTCATATGAAACCTAGCCAAACTCAGGACACAGGGAACATGCCACGTGGGGCCCGTGTTCTGCCAGGAGGCCTACTTCAGCATCCAGAACGCCTGGCAGTTGTCAGAACTTGCAAGGGGAATTTTGTTTACCTTGTGAAATGCCCAGTGTGTTCCAAGGGTCATTTAGGAATACTGTCACACTGTCGTTAGGGCAGGTACAGTCTTTAACTTAAATGGATCCACTAAAGAGAACACTGTGATATCACTATTTTTTTCATTTCTATGGTCAGTCAATAGAATTCCTTACATTATAAATTACCAGTAGAAAGAATGTCTTCTGTTATTTAATACTATTTTTATGTTTTCCAAATATCTATTATCTGAGATCAGCTATATAATTAAGCACTATGTGTGATATTATATTATACTATTTATTATGTCCAAGGGCCTCAACTATTGGCTTAGAGTGAAATAAACATTTCAGATAATGCAAAAACTATAATGGAATAAAAAAAATTACTTCTCAGGATTGTTTAATAAAAAGATCAGGAATCTGATAACCAATAATAAATAAAACCCTAAGTTTAGGAATAGTTTGATCTTGTATTTACTAAATTTCAGAATAATGGTTATTCACATAGAGCCATCTTTTTAAATATCTGGTCACACCCTCAACTCTGACATAGATGATGTGACTGTTTAGTGGGAGAGTTACAGACAGTCAGGAGAGTGCAGTGAGAGTCTGGGAAAACAATAAGCTGATGCTTCAAGGAGAGGTAGCAAATGCCAGGGCAGAAATGTGACAGGTAAGAAAAGGGCACAAGTGGCAGAAGTGGCAGACGTATTTGGTGACAGAAAAGGCAGCGAGAAGCAAAAGTAAGCAGCAAAGAGCAAGGTGAGAAGGTGGGAGGGGGATAAAACTTGCTTGTATAATCGGTACAATATTCAGTCATGTTATATAATAAAAAGGAAATACAAGTATATATGCATATAACCGAAAAGAAATTAACTTTAGTAAATTCTGCAGTCTTCTGATTTTTTACAAGATGCTTCAATTAATTCATGTGTTCATCGATGCCCAGGAAAGACAGGAAGAAGTCAGAGCATGATAAACACATTTGCGCACTGATATTCCTGTCCCAACAGGATAACAAATGTAACTGTCCTGTCCTAATCCCTCTCCTGGGTGTCTAGGAAAGCTGCCACAGGATAAACAGGTGTTAGGTTTGATGGGCTCTGTGGTTCAGTTTCATAGAGACCGGGCTGTTTACCGGTAGCCAGAGCAATCACTTCCTAAACTGCAGTGCATTAGGCCTGACGCAGCAGTTCTTTCCTATGCTGTTCCCTGTCCTGCGAATGCTTTCGTCTAGGAGTCAGCAGCCCTTATTAGCTACAGATGCCATCTGTGGCCCTTGGGATGCCTGAGGCCAGAGGAAGACACAGAAGAGAAAGAAAGGGCTAAGAAAGACTATTTTTATGACAAGGAAAGGGAGGGAGAAACCACAGGAGTGGGAAGAGAGGAGGAGAGGCAGAGAGAAGGAAAGCAGTTCTCTGTGTGGTGGGTAGGATAAAGTGAACTTGAGATACTACATGCTGCCCACTTGGACAACCCATTCAACACTCAGGTCTCACCGCTTCATCTTCTAAAGCCCTTTTCCCTTCGCTTCACTTGCGTCACCCAATTCTACACTTACATTTGGAGTACTAACACCTGTCCTCTCTGAAAATGACTAATTAAGGTCGCCTCTTCTCTGATAAGAACACATGTGCCTACAGCTTATTTGCTCGGTGGCCCAACCTACACCTGTTATTTGGTTTCAATAAGATCTCTCTTTTCTTTCTGCATCAACACTCTCCCTGTCTTTTCAAGAAACATATATTACAGATTATCCCTTCTCCTTCCTATATCATCAATCTATCCTTCTTTACTGCAGATTAAACATGCTCAAGAATCTTCTCTTAAACAAAATAAAATAAAAAACAACACAAAGTCTTTCTGTACTTTGTCTCTGCTTCTGGTTACGACTCTCATTTACTTCACAGTTGATTTGTGAAAGAGCTGAGCATTTCCTCTTCCTACTTACTCACTTCCTGTTCACTTCTCGTTCCACGCCAATCTGCTTTTGGCCTCTACATTTCCAATGACAGAGCTCCTTCTGACACCATCCATGACCTTCATTAGCCAGATTAGTCCATATTGTGGTTGAATGACCTTCAGCATCATCGGATAGTGCTGATAGTTGCCTCCTTACTGAGGCAGAGTTTTCCTGTGGCCTCTGTCGCTTGAATATTCTCCTGGACTGCCTATGTCTCTAGTTCCTCCTTCTTAGCCTCCCTTTTTAGCTCTGCTCCCTTTATTCCACCTTTGAAAAGTTATGCAGTTCTGCAGGGCCTGATCTACAACGCACTTCTATGTTCCTTCCCTTAGGTATCGTATTTATTCTCATCGCTGCAAAGATCACCTATGCCAGGGACTGCATTTTTTTGTTTGTTTGTTAAATCTCCAGCTCCACATATTAACACACGTTGCTGGATAGTTCTACTTAAATGTCTTAGATACTCAAAGATAGTATGTCTAAATGTACTCCTCTTCCAAATACCTTAATATAGTAAGTGCACCATTATCCACCTGATTTTTCACATCAGAAACTAGGAGATCACCTATGAAATCTCCTTCTTCATCAACCCCTCCAACATTCTATGTTCCTAATCAACGTTACTCTAAATATCTCTTAAACATATCCACGCCTTTCCTTCTGCACTGCCACTAACGTAATCAAAGCCACCACCACTACCGTTGTAGCCTCCTAAACTGGTCTCTCCAAATCTACACTATTATTTTCTAGAGAGCAACATAACTGATATTTTCAGGTTTACTCAAATGACAGTGGGAATAAACAGCAACGAGATATTCTTTATTTCAACTATAGTTTTCTTGGGAGGAGGAATCCTAACAACTGCCTAATATACTAACATCTTAACTGAAACTGCGTAAGAGGCAGTTTCAACTTGTAGTTAATTCTATTAAAAAATACAATCTTTATCCATGATGTTCTCTTCACCCATAATAGAGAAGAGAACATCAAAGGCCAGAGAAGAAGGAATTAAGGAAAAAAATTCTAACACCTCTTGCTTAAGAGCACGTGCCACGCTTCTCTCAACTACCCCTTCTGGCCTGTATACTGTACTATATCCTACATTCATTTATTTATTTGTCCTTCATCTAAGTTTGGTTAGGGGGAAAAAACCCACATTTAAGAAAAATAAAGAACAAAAATGTCTAGGAGAGGCTTTTCATTAATAAATGTCCCTTGGGGAGAAAGTCTAATTATAAATCTTGTTTAGACTTCCAATTATAGTTACTTTTTTAAAATTCCGAAGGAAGCATGGGAGAAAAAAGTTTGGAAAATAAAGCCAAGTTTTGAAAGAACACTAACTTCAGTAACCAATCTATTTTCCCCTTCCGCTTGGTTGGGCATATCCTTTGTCCCTGATATCCAAGGCTACATGAAAAATGAGGAAGCAGCTTTCTTTAAATAAATCTCTAATTTAACTGGAGCTCTATTTAGCAGACAGAAATACTAGAGAAAATAACAGGGAACTGGAATTCTAAGAAGTTCCTTTTTTGCCATAATGGGCACAACTATCGCTAAGTCTGATGGAAAAAATGTTCGTGTTCCTCACGCAGGAAGAGGGAGATGGAAGAGAGGCTTTCAGGCGGTGTGTCCACAGACAAGAGCGGTTTCTACACATTCCCAGCCTTGTTTTGATTTTGATTTCCCCCTCCCCCGACTACACTTCTGCATGTTCTCAACCAACTTCACCTTCACAGGGATGTCCTCTTCCTGGCTGGCTTTCTCTGACGTGAAGACATATGAGATTTCTTTGTGGGATGTCGTCTGGCGACAGATGGCACACTTAATGGAACTTCTGTGAGACCCCACACTGTACTGCTCGATAATAATAGAAGTGCACTCATTACAGAAACAGTGCCCACAGGTCAGGACTGCCCACTACAAGAGAACACACAGAACACGCCTCAGTGGGATGCTACCAAAGATGCCTTCCATCTATACACACATTTGAAGGAGGACAGAGTCATAATTTTACTTCTTAAGTATTTCATGATATTAATATTCTGTAAGTCATAAAGGCTAAGTTCTACATTTAAATGAACGATTTTCATGTCCAACCAGAGTAAGCTTTCATAGTCTTTAGTTCTACTCACCCTAACAGTGAGCACAATACAGTCATCGTTATATTCTTAGTTGGTGTTCTCATTTCAGTACTTAGGAAGAATGTGAATTACCCCTTCAGTACTCTAATGGCAGATACAATGCTGGGGCTAAGAAGAACATTCATTTGAATATCATACTTAATACAGTCTATACAACTTATTGAACAGACTTAGTATTTTCACATGTTAAAGCATTTGTTACATAGGACATAAGATGGGCTAGTATCTCAATTTATTTTAAAAGTGGTTTGGAAACATTTAAAAAATTCCCAAATAAACAAATAAAAAGGTATTTTTGAACCCCCCCCAGTCATATTTCAAGAAAGGCACAATAATCCATTCTGGAGCATATTACAGGGACTTCTCCCCTTTTTGGCAGTGGGAGGGGGTGTAGAAGAGCATTACATTTAATCGAGGTGTCAGTTCTAAAGGCTCTGACATCTTGTAAATCAAAGTTGGTAGGATAAAAATAAGAACCTCATTGAGGAGAACTAATAACATGCCATCCAGTTTATAGACATCTATATACTAACCTACACAGAAACACATTTAATTGTTATAATGGTCTAAATTCCCCTAGGATTGCTGTTATATGTACTTTAAATCCTGTTATTACTAGATATTAATAATGCTAAGTAAAAGCTATGCTACTATAATTTTGAAATATTTTAAGTAAATCAACGTGAGCTGTATGAAATTTCTGTACAATTACCAAATAACTATGTTAAAATGACAAAGTCAAATTATTTAGATCCAATCTTGTGACTGGAAACAATATTCAACACTATGCATCTTTAATCGAAAAGGTGGAGTTATTTTAGAAATACGTTTTCACCTATCACTTATGGAAAAACATTGAGCAAACACATGTTGGCACTAGCCCTGGCTGGTGTGGCTCAGTGGATTGAGCCCCAGCCTGCGAACCAAAGGGTCGCTGAGTTGATTCCCAGTGTAGGGCACATGCCTGGGTTGCAGGCCACGTCCCCAGCAGGGGGCGCATGAGAGGCAACCAAACATTGATGTTTCTCTCCCTCTCTCCCTCCCTTCCCCTCTCTAAAAATAAATAAATAAAATCTTTAAAAGCAAAAAACAAACAAACAAACAAACATATGTTGGCACTAAACAGGTCACCTCAACTTTGGCCCTAACTTTAAGAAAAAGATAATCTTTGCCTTGCAGAGTTGTTGAGAGACAGGGGGCCTGGCAGGTGGGGAGAGGATGAATGTAAAAGCCTTTGAAAACTGTAAAGTGTTTTAGAAATACATGTGATGTTTATCATAGTTTCACCTGTTTTCCCAGCTGCCGAGCACAGATAGGACAAGGCTCTGGATTGATACCTCCTGATGTTTTGTCTTGAGACTATCCAAAAAAGAGAAGAATTCAAAAATATATTAGTTATGTTTTAAAACCTGGTACATGTTTTACAGTTCATTTATAGAATTCTGGCAATTGCAATTTTAATAGCCTGGTAATTTAGATGATCTAATAATTTATTATTACCTAATACTATCATTCCTGTGATTTACAAATAACATTTATTAAAGTGAAAAAAAAAAGGAGACAATTTTTATTACAGTTTGTTAAAATTATAGTACTGTAGTTGTGATTACCATAGATGGCAAAATGAAAAGAAATATATAACAGGTAAATTTTCTAACTTTGTTTTCAAACTAGATTTTGTTATGAAGAAATTATATATTCTGCGTGTCTGCTTAGGGTGGGCTCACAGACATGGGCAGAAGTAGCATTTAGTTACAGAACTCCTTGTTAACACTGGTTTCTTCTCAGTGCCCTTTTTCTGATCTCATTAAGGCAAAGCAAATAACTGGAAACTAGAAATATTAATTTGAGACCTATCTAAGCCTGGGAATTATGTTGAAATATAATGGCTTTTCAAAATCTCCTTAAAACTATTTCAAAAATTAAAAGGACTTCAAAACGGTCATCACATAGACAGGTTTTGAAACTGAAGAAAACATAAAGGACAGTAAATTAGACTCATAGATCACTAAAGTTTTTAAGTCCATTGTTTCATTAACCAATAGTTTTTAAAAAAATTGTTCTTGATTATCCTTGAGTCTCTTGGCAAATTCCAAATATGGAACACGGTATTAACTGTAGTCCCATGCTGTACTTTATATTATATCTCCAAAAATTAACTTATTTTAATAACTGGAAGTTTGTACCTTTGACTCCCTTTACCCATGCATCTCACCGGCCCCCATAACTGCCATCTCTGGCGACCATCGATCAGTTGTCTGTATGTACGAGTTTGATGTTCTGTTGCTCTTTTTATTAGATTCAACATAAAAGTGAGATCAGATGGTATTTGTTTTTCTCTGTCTTATTTTACTTACCATAATGCCCTCAAGGCCCATCCATTTGGTCAAAAATGGCAAGATTTCATTCTTTTTTATGGCTGAATAATATTCCATTCCACACACACTCTCTCCCCGCCCCCCACTCTTGCCCACCACACCTTTGTCTATTCATCTGCCAGTGGACATTTAGGTTCTTTTCACATCAGAGCTCCTAGAAACGATGGCTTGCCGTTACCTGCTTCTCCTATAAAGAAGTAGAATCCCTCAACAAGTAGCAGACTCTCAATAAAAGAGTCTATGTGATTACCTAGTATTATTCAGAAAACTTCTCCTGGAGGCCTTCTTTATGCTTTCTCACTGGAACTTTACCAGTACCTGACATTGAAAAAAGCTGATTGACAATACAACATGTTAATCTTCAAATTTCTGTAGCCCTCTCAAATGCAGTCCATTCTGCTCTAAATGATTTATTTACATTTAATCTGTCAAGTTTGGCTGAATTGCTGATATCTTATTAATCACTACTTGATCTAGTGCCTATGATATGTACAAATCAAATTACTTGAAATTCCCTGAGGCCGGGAACCAAATCTATTTCAAATTCCTAGTATAATGCATATATATAAGCAGGTGCTCAATACTATTTGCTAACTGCCAGAAAAATTAAGTATGTTAACATTTATTTTCAGTATTATTTCAAATAAATATAATCACAAAAAATGAGATCATATTCCATTTATAAATTTATAATTTGTTTTTTTCTCTCTTGACTTTCTAACATGAGCATTTTCTTATCTCACAGAAAACACCATTTAAAATACTTATAACATGTTAAAAGAATAATCCATGATTTACATAAGTGTAATTTCTGTTGGACACAACTAGTCTGTTTACACTGTCCTATACTACACAGCACACACCTTTACACTATGTGTATCATATTTTCTATAGATCATCATCTTCTTTTATGATGTCTGTAAATGTTGCAGGCATAGCTAGTATTCTGACTCATATAACTAACAAAAAACAAGTAAAACACTGATTTAAAAAAATCCTGTACCATTAATTATAGGGTTAAAAGATTAAATGGAAAGAGTCTCTAAAGTGGTTTATTGACATAGAGTATATTTTAAAATGATACCTTTTCCAAGTTCGTTAGGTAAAGAAGCTGCCCAAGTTTTTTCTGAAGCTGTGATGTAGCAACAGCTTTATCATTTAGTAGCTTTATCCGATTTTGCTCTACCTAAAAAACAAAAGTTTTATTCTCCTCAGAACAATGATTACAATTATATTAAACATGCAAAATCCTTCCTCAATAACATAAATGTGTCCTCTTTTAAGAAAACCCACTTACATGTGAACTCAAAATAGCAAAATGGAGTCTAGATAATGTATTTCAAAAGGAAATGTGTATTTTGTTTTGCTTTATCGAAGACAAAACTCAATGTAGAATTTAAAAAAAAATACATTTTATTGATTATGCTATTACAGTTGTCCCAATTTTTCCCCCTTTGCCCCCCTCCACCTGGTATCCCCCCATTCCCTTCAGCAGTCCCCTCCCTCAGTTCATGTCCATGGGCCATGCATATAAATTCATTGGCTACTCCATTTCCTATACTGTTCTCAGCACCCCCTGTCTATCCTGAACCTACCAATTTGTACTTCTTAATTCCTCAACCTTTTCCCCCATTGTCTCCCTTCCCCCTCCCAACTGATAACCCTCCAAATGATCTCTACTTCTATGATTCTGTTTCTGTTTTGGTTGTTTTCTTAGTTTGTTTTTCAGATTCAATTGTTGATAGTTATGAATTTATTGTCATTTTAATATTCATAGTTTTGATCTTCTTTTTTGTAAATAAGTCCCTTTAACATTTCATATAATAATGATTGGTGATGATGAACAACTTTAGCTTTACCTTGTCTGGGAAGCACTCTATCTGCCCTTCAATTCTTGAAGAAAGCTTTGCTGGAGAGAGTAATCTATGTTGTTGGTCCTTGCTTTTCATCACTTTGATACTTCTTGCCAGTCCCTTCTAGTCTGCAAAGTTTCTTTTGAGAGATCAACTGATGGCCTTATGGGAACTCCTTTGTAGGTAACCCTCTGCTTTTCTCTTGCTGCTTTTAGGATTCCCTTTTTATCTTTAACCTTTGGCATTTTAATTATGATGTGTCTCCATGTGGTTCTTTTTGTGTCCATCTTATTTGGGATTCTCTGTGCTTCCTGAACTTGTATGTCTATTTCCCTCAACAAAGTAGGGAAGTTTTCTCTCATTATTTTTTCAAATAAGTTTTCAATTTCTTGCCCTTTCTCTTCTCCTCTGGCACCCTTGTGATTCGAATGTTGGTATGTCTGAAATTGTCCCAGAGGATCCTAGTTTATCCTTGTTTTTTTTTTTTTTGGATTCTTGCTATTTTGATTGAATGTTTATTTTCTTATGTACCAAATCATTGATTTTATTCCTGGCTTCACCCACTCCACTGTTAGTTCTCTGTAAATTTTTCTTTATTTCACTTAGTGTAACCTTCATTTCTGCCTGAGTCTTTTTTATGCTGTTGAAGTACCCAATGACTTCCATGAGCACCCTAATAACCAGTGTTTTGAACTCTGTATCTGACAGATTGCTTATCTCCATTTTGTTTAGTTCTTTTTCTGACATTTTGTTCTGTTTTTCTATTTGGGCCATATTTCTTTGTCTCCTCATTTTGGCAGCCTCCTTGGGTTTGCTTTTATGTATTAGGTAGAGCTGTCTGACTCCCTGTTTTAGTAGCATGGCCTATTGTAAAAAAGCACGCCAGTAAGTTGTATAGAGTGGAGTCTGAAGTAATTGCCAGGGTCGGGCAACCTATGTGAACCAGACTGATGGAGCCTTCAATATGGTGTTGCCACTCTGTGGCTCTGTGTAGGCAAGGGCTCAGGAAGGGGACAATGACGCTGCTTGGCCTCTGGGGTTTTGTCCAGGAGAAAGCTGTCCCCTGACACTTGCCCTGATGCCAGACTCTTCAATTTTTCCCCGTATGCCACTTGTGACCTTCCTTACAGTTGCTGCCCCAGTGCTGAAGCCCAGAGGGATTGAGTCTGTGTAAGTCCTAAGTCTATTGTAGGCCCTTTAAGAGGAGACTCCTGAGAATCCCGTAGTTTCTTCCACCACCCCACCCCCCACTGGTTTTTATAGCCAGAAGTTATGGGGACTTATCTTCCTGGCACTAGAACCCTGGGCTGGGTGGTCTAGTGTAGGGCTGGGATCCCTCACTCCCAAGGTATCCCTCCCAATTTTTATCTACCACACGTGAGTGTGGGACCACCTGACCTGCATCTCCATGCTTCTCTGCACCTCTGCGCCTCCTACCCATCTGGATAGGTGACTTCTTTAATTTCTTGATTGTTGGACTTCCATATAGCTCAATTTTCTGACAATTCTGGTTGATATTTGTTTTGTAGTCTAGTTGTAATTTTTTCTGTGGTTTTGTGTGGAGGTGAGCTATGTTTACCTATACCTCCACCTTGACCTGAAACCTAGAACTGTTTTAAATAGGAAACTTTCCTATACACTTGAAGTCGGATTAAAAAAAACAAACAAAATTCTATTTGTACACCATTTTTCAGTAATATATCCATGGGATAAAGAAAAATGAGATAATATGCTACTCTGGCCAGAGTGATTTCAAGAAATCCAGAGAAGAATCCTCTCTGTGGTCTCCATCAGGAGAATATAATAGAAAAAAAAGTATAAATAAATAAATAAAATTAAGAGGAATGTGTTTACATAGAAAACACTTATTCTCAATTCTGCTTTAAAAGTTAAGTAAAATAGCATATAATGAATATTCTGAGTTACAGTCTCCAAGCTTAATAGAAAGAAAAAGATTTAAAAGACTAAACACACAAGATGAATGAAAATAAATTATTAAGGAAAATAATATTGTTAATATGGAAGAGAAAAGGCTGGTGGAGTTATTTTTTAATCCTGAGAAACAAAGAGGGATTTATTAGAAGATAAGTTGTCAATATCTATTCATCATTAGCAAAGGCAAACACTGAAGAAGTTTTGGTTGTTCTTAGGGAAGATTTTTCTAGTTCTGATAAAATTGATGTAATAGAATATGTCTAACAACGGACCAAGACTATCTTTAGGTTTTGCCGCATAGAAGGTGTTCAAAAATAGATGAATATGCAATGTGGAGAGAAACAAATGCACCAAAATAGTGAATTTTAAGCAAGTATTAGATATAAAATTGCTCCTCTCTGACCATTTTTGACCTACATAATCAAACAACTTCATACGGGTAAAGCTAAGAGAGTGATTAAACACATATTTACTGAAGAGATCAATGCCCTGACTCTCTTCTATGAATGTTGAATTTTTGTGATAATTTATTTGCTGTGCTCTTTCTGTGGTTTACTTGCAAATTACCTCATGTGGTTCGATGATGTGAAGAACGGGTGGGTTGGGCTTTGGCTCTCTAGGGTCCCGAACTCTTAGACGTTCTGTAGCCATAGCCAGTTCATCAATAGCCGACACACGATTCCTCAGAGCCATCCAATATTCATGAAGCAACTGGAGGGACAGACAAAACAAAGACATTGGTAAAGCACATAATTAAAATTGGTTAAACCACCAAGATGGGCCTTGGTGAAAAGTCTTCAGTGAGGCCTTATGACATATACATTTTTTTGCATTAAGTGTCTAAAGTACAAGCAATTCTTAGCCATTTTTAGGATAAGAAAATACTACTGGCAATCTCCATAGGACACTGCAGAGGACTGCCCCTCAGGAATCTCAGGAACAAAATGCCCTATCAAGGAACAAAAGTCTTTATAGCTCAATACTAGGCTGGTAGAATCTCTGCTTTATTTTTAAAAGTAATATTTATTATAAAATATTTCACATATTTAAGTAACATGTACACATGATAATGAGAATATTAAAATACACAAATGAGTTCCATAATCCAATTTAAGAAACAATACCAATTTCTTAGAGAAAGCCTCTGTGTTCCTTTTCAACTGTATCACTCTCTTTCCTCACACAGTTTTCCTTCTACCTCCCAAAATGGGGTAACCATTATTCTGAGTTGGACTTACTATTCCATCATTTTCACTGACATATGCTAATCTACACATCCTTAAACCTGGATATATATGTTTGTGAAATTCATAGAAGTGGTATCAATCATTATGACATTTTTGATATGCCTTCTTCACTAACATCATACTTCGATGTAGATCCTGACTGACGTGTGCAGCAGTAGCTCACTCACTGACATTGTTGTAAAAGGGTTTAATCTGCAATGTTATGGAGAAAAAAAGGTGCGCAGTTCTGGGAGAACTACATGATAAGCACTCCTCTGACACAGAGCCTGTGGTCAAATTGAGCCCCAAGGAAGAACACAGGACCAAGTGGACACTGTAGAGTACTATCTTCTTCCATGGGTTGGTGTAATTAATCGTGTTAATGTGCTTTTACATTAAAATAGAAATGTGAAAAGAAAAAAATTATTACAAACCAATGATTTCAACACCATAAAAGTGCTGAAATTTATCAAACATATGAACTGGTATTATAGACAACATGCCTTCTTTTTCTGGACAGGTATTTTTATACTGCTTTAAAATGCAAGAACTTTAGATTTAAAAAGGTATTAAATGGAATTATAAATAAAACCTTTCTTCACTGCCTTACCCATCTCACCTGCAAAGTAGGATAATCAATGAACAAATCCAAATATATATATAAAAAATTCAAAATTAATGAATTCTGGAATCTCATCTCAAACACAGTTACAGTATGACAAAATTAATAAAGCATTACTATGAAAGGTTACTTTGAAAAACATTATATTCTCTAATCTTCATTCAAAGTTTTTAATGGTTGGTTGTTACTCACAAGAGCAAAGCAAAACAAAATGAAAAATGAAAAAAAAAATCTCTATTCTAATTTCACAGAATAGCAATGTATGATCAAGCTAAGGACAGAATAACTATTTTGACAGCTAAATAAATGATTTCATATATTTTAAAAATAATTTTCTTTTAGTAATTTAATAAACAGACGTTTGTTATTCAGGATTACTATATTTTTCATCATTACAATCATCATAGTTTAGGGAAAGAGAAATTATAACACCTCAAGTCTCTAAGCAGATTTTTAAAGATAAAGAGAGAAAAAGAAAAGTAGCCATTAAAATTAATGTAAAGGAGAATTTTTAATATTGGAAGAAAGTTTTAAGATACTGGACCTTATATTCCTTCTTCCAAGCTTCAAAGAGATCCATTGAAGTACTTCCTTCATCAATGAACTGAATATCAAATCTATGTGACTTTGCAAATGACAGGAGAGCTTTCATAGACCGCTCTGTCTCGCTTATTGCCCACAGACCCCGGCTGGTGGTAGGTATTCGATCATCCACCAGTCCTTCTTCATCTTCTATCATCTCCTCAAATATTGCAGTCTGGCCTTTGACTCTGAAGACATATATGAACAAAATGACAGTAACTACTGCCCATGGTAAAAAAGCACTGTAAAAGTCATACTGGCAGAGCCAATGGGGAAACAAGGTCGGTAATGAAAATTTCAACAATTTTTAATGTCACATCTACAAGATCATGCTCGCAAGCCTTTGGGAAAAATGACAGGAATTTCAAAAATGCTAGAGGTATCATAAATTTGACCCACGTATCTTAAAAACCATCTAGAAATGACTATACATTTCAGGCTGAAATCTTACTCTGAGAATTAAGACAATACAAAACACAAACTACCATCACTATCGACCATACAATAAGTAAATAAGTAAATAAGTAGATAAAATAAACAAAAAAAGCAACAACCCCCCCCCAAACCACAAGACCTCTGGAAGATGATCTAAAAGTAATGCCAATCTCTCTTTTTTTGAAGCAATCAGAACTTAGTCTTTTCTCAATTTCCATTTTTGTAAAACAGAAATAATTTTGCTAATGTCATGGCTGTATGCACTTATTAAGCAGCTTAATTCTTATACAGGATGAGGATAACAAATTTGTATTGGATAAAGTATATTAATAATGAGAGCTAACATTTTGTAGGATGTTAACCATGTACCAAACAGTATGCTAAGCAATAACATGCATTTTCTTATTTAATACTCAAAAAATTCAATGAGGTGTGTGTTGTTATTATATACATTTCACAAATGAGGATGCTGAGGCTTAGAGTAGCCATCTGCCCACAACAGGGGATAGGGATTTGAGTTCAAATCTGTTGGACTTGAGAATCTGCTCCTTCCCTCAGCCATCTCTCAAGCAGGCATTACTGCATGACATGAGCGCCTGAGGCTGCACTTCTGCATGGGTAGAACTGAGCATGTTAAGTGATCAAATGCCGAAGTTTATTCTGTTAGTTTAATAAGAGAGAAAATATATAAAACAATTACTGTAAGGAAAATACAGTCTTCTAATTTAAAACATCAAGTCTTGTAAATGTCTCCTTTCCCTGATGGAAATAATCAGAGAACTTACGTGTGAGAAAACAGCTTTGATTCGTACTCTGTGAACAATTCATCAGCCTTACAGAAGACACAGCTGGAAGAGGAGAAACTGTCAGTGAAATGTTCATAAACGTAACCAGTAATCAGGTCATTTCTAAGAAAGGCTTAGTATTTTATACTTTACTTTTTCTTTTCAACAAATATGCCATTTTAGGGAAAAAAAGCATTTCCAATATGTGGTCCTTGAGTCTTTTTTTAAAGTTAGATTAATGATACATCTCCACTTCTGTCTGAATTCAAATAAAAAAACTTTTATTGCAAGAACCATTGTTTCTTCTCTCAGAATAAATCTAGCTTAATGGAATGATGCTATTTTATCGAATGATTTCTTCTAGTACCTACCAGTTGAGAGGAAGTCTGGCTGGTCGGAGGTGGCAGATTGTCGCAGACTCAATAACACTACGAGACGGAGGTCCCTCCAGGTTCTTCACTGCTTCTCTTACCAGCTTCTGGAATTTAGTTAGTTCTTCCATTTGTGTTGTTAGCAGGAACTGAAGACCTCTGCAGTCACGGAACCTAATTCCCATCACCAGCACCAAACACAACACAAAAAAGGGAATTGTTGGGCAATGTCTTCGAATTCAGAAAATGGTTGCTAAACAAAGAAACTGCAACATTTTACCTAGTCACACTTTAGTGAGTTTTACCTCAGGAGTATATTCTATTGGCATCTATAGCAGACAAGGAATAATGACATTGGATTGTCTACTCTAAAAATTCTGATAGTTCCTGTTCCCAGGAACTAAAAAACAGTACTCAAAATCTGTCTGTCTCAGACGTTTTCCAAAGATCATGGTCATCACGTTCTTTCTTTTTAACGCTGACTGACTACAGGTGTCCCTCCTGACACCCTAGCTCTATGTGAAGAGGTGACTGCAGGATGAAAAATAAAGACAGAAAATTGGGAAGGAAGCCAAATAGCCAAGAGATAGGTTACTTGTTACAAGACTCTGTGTGTGTATTTTATTAAGCATTTGCTATATATCAGGCACTTTACCTAGCACCTCTCCCATATAATCTCAATAGTCACCATGCTAACATAAGGATAAAGCTTAACAAATTAATTTGTTATTATGTGGCAGAGTTAGGAGTTAAACCCAAACAATGCTCTTAACTATTCTGATAAACTATAGATGAAAATGGCTAAGGAAAAAAAAAATGTATGGATGTGTGCATATAGATTTCTGAAAGGAAAAAGAAAGCACAGAATAACAAGAAATTAGAACATGGAAAATACAATTTGTTTGCTTTTAAGAGTATATCCTTCTCCTCCCTAAAATGCCATATGCACTCCTTTTCAAACTGTTCATAAGGGCCCACTGTCCTTCCTGAAGGCTTCTCCAACATTTCACAACACTGGTCTGTTTCTTTCTGTCCACGGAATTTATTAAAAATATTCATTTTATACTGCATGTTCAGTTTTTACACATATTCATCTTTCTGAAATTATTCATGGGTGTTATCTTATTAAGCTAAATTTTAGAAGGTAAGAATTATATCATAGTGTTCTAATTCCTTTTTTTAAAAAAAAAGTGTTATGTAAGAGACAGAGAATAGCTATTGAATAATTTCTGAAATAATTTGCATAGTGAAACTTAAACAAAGTTCACAAAAATAAAACAACTTTTTCTTTCTAATTTATGAGAAATTTAAATCACTCTTCAATAGCTAACTTTTGAACTAAAGGAAAGAAATGGCTTTGGAAAAATTCCTCTTTACTAACTCATGTCTGAGTCATGTGATTAGGGCCTGAAAAATATCACAGATCAGCATTTAACAAGTCCTACCAATGTTCTCTCTTGCAAGTCCTTTAAATGGACGAGCAGAAAACAGTAGTAGAAGAACTCTTAAACATCATACATAAAAGGTAGATGCCATGTTAAGTGAGTACTTTATAAATATTAATTTTCTAATCCTCACAACAGTGTTGGGTGGTTTCATAGATGAAATACTAAGGCACAGGGAGCTTATATTTCTTTCCCAAGGTCACAGAGCTAATAAGTGGTGGAGCTGAGACACGAACACAGGCAATCTGACTTGAGAACCCACCTGTGCTCATAATCACTGAGCTACATAGCCTTTCCCAAGAATGATTAACAAGTAAACATAAATAATCTGGCTTTTGAGATATCAATCTCAAAATATGTAACTTACATATTTTAAAATGTGTTTTATTACTATTTATGTCTAATTTTTTTAAAGGAATGTCTGTATAATTAATGGTACACTTTACATCTCCTGTTGGTCCTTTTACAGCCCTGGGGTCTCAAATAGTAGGAGATATGTTCTAATATGGGATTTACAACTTTTAAGTAATGTCTGTATGATTTAAGAAAAACAAGTTCAAGATATTTTAAATGTTTTCTTATCAGCTGATTCCACAATGTTGGCAGAACATATTAGGATATAATTTTTTTTTAAGAGGAAAGGAAAGGGAGGGAGAAAGAGAGGGAGAGAAACATTGATGTGAGAGAGAAGCATCAACTGGTGGCCTCTTGTACCTGCCCTGACCAGGGACTGAGCCTGCAACCTAGGCATGTGCCCTAACAAGGAACTGTACTAGTGACCTTTTAATTTGTGGGATGACACCCAACCAACTGAGCCACACTGGTCAGGGCAGGATATATTTTTTAAACTGGATGAAATGAATCATCATGTAAATGACAACTTATTCTGGAACAGTGATTCTTGAGCTTAACAGGGAAAATGGAAGTGCACTCAAGAGTGTAACACACTGCACATATTTCAGAAAGCAGCAGCACATCAGGTTCTGTATGCGGGGAAAAAGCAATTGCGATAAACTACATCAAGTTAGTAATGACACATGGAAAATGTGGCATGTCTCTTTAGGGTTTTAGCTGATATTTGGAAGACCTTTTAGAAGAGTAAATTAAAAACTTTAAAACATTTCAAAGATATTGTATTGATGATTTTTTCAATGCAAACTAACAAAATCCCAAGGCTGATCTTATTGCTGCAATGTGATCTAAGCAGCAACAAGACCCTCTCTCTGTTCCCCCATACCTAGAACCAACAGTCCTGCCACAACACCTAAAATCCCCACAGTAGGAAGAAATTCCTTTGGGTCTTGCCATTGAGAGTACCTTTGATAAAGAATAAATTGTTCTTTGGAAATAATTATTCCCTGTTTCTGTATCTAGATCAATAATCCAATTTACCTATGAATGCCGAAGAATGATAAGCGTTGATGAGAAGAAAGTTAGGGAAGGGAGGGCAGGTAACTCTGCAACATAAAACCTGCCACTGTGGTACCATGATGCTTAGGACTTAGGGAATGCGTCACACAGGGAAGTACGAACGCCTTACTTATTTCCTTAAGGACAATATTCTCCAAAACAACGTCTATTTAAACAACTTGCTTCAAGTTGGCTTTAAGCAACTTGTCTAACAAAGATACAAAGAAAGTACTTGAAGCAGATTTTTAAAAAAAGAAAAGCAGCAAAAAGAGAATATTTTTAAATGACTAATATATAGGGGAAAAAGGTTTCTTTTCTTGACTTACACCTAATATTCTGGTTTGAAGTGTACTCTTAATAGTACGTAAAATCCAGATGTTCATAATCACAGTATGTTCCTACATTTAATTGTACTTATTACCAAATGGCCTGGATATTTGGGGTGCTTCTCATATAGTTATTCTACTTTGTACTATTTTCTTACTTCTCTGACATAGAAAGCTTGCTAGTTTGCTGCTTGTAGTTGCTGGTTATTTCATTTCGCACTCGTTGAACAAGCTCCTCATCAATAGAAAATTCTATTGCTCTGTGGATCACATTTAGCCACCAAGGAGAATTGGAATAAATCTGCAAAAAAGACAAGTGCTCATCAATTAATGCTGCAGTACTTGCTCTCGTTTGTAGGGTGCTGTGATAAATGCTACTCTAAAGGGAATTATAATAGCGGTGAGACAAGTATACATTCTCTATATTTAATGGTGAGTACAACTTTTGCATAATATAATTAAAGAGAATACTTGTTTCCTGATTTCTATGCATGAATGCGAACTTATTGTGCACACTTGTGAAACAAAGTTGAGCTAAAAAATACTTTACCAAAATGAGAATTCTGTACTTACCCCATATGTTTGAAAAGGTAACAGGTTTCTTTTTCAACATAAAGACATCATGCTGATACTCAACTAACTAAACTAGATACTAGTCAATCTGTGATAACAAAGAAAATTTTACGCCTGAATATTAAGGAATTAATGAATTGGGAAGAATAAAATATGGAGTATTGGGTAAAAATCAAAAAGTATGAGAGTGTATTTTTGCATAGCCTCCTTAGACGTTGTTACTGATTTCATAAAAGGAGAATTTTAGAAATGACAACTGGCTTGCATTTCATAACAAAAATAACTGTGCTTCCAATGTTCTGATATCTTAATAGAAAAGATTTGAGCAACATATACATTTAAGATCAAAAGGAGGTTACAAAAGTCTTTACTTTCTTCAAAAGACAACCCAAGGCAAAAGAAATCCATTGTAGCTTAAAAACAATGAAAAAGAGTAACTATACAAAATAGGTGATTTATTTATGAATCTGTTCATTCAATCAATAAACACTGGTAACAGCAAATACATTTTTACTGTGTGACAGGCGCTGTACCAGGGCCTTAGAGTTCGAAGATGACTGCACCAATTCAAGTTTCTCCCTGCACCAAAACAAAAGCCAAAATGCTAGGTGGAGACAAAGACCAGCGAGGAAGTCGGATTGGGGACACACCTTTCTCTGGAGCTCCCGGATGGTCTGCTGCACAGGCAGCAGAGCCTGCTGCGCTTCGGCGACCTCGGTGTTGCACTTGCTCATGTAGTGCTCCCGCAGCTGCCTGGCCTGTGCAAAAACAGCAAATAGTGTCACCTTTCACTGCGGGTCAAGAAAATAATTCCACATGGTTTGTCAAGAACGGTGTCATTATTTTTATATATTTAGAGCTACTTAACTCAATTTAAGCATAAAACTCTACAAGCCTACTGCAGAGAACATAAAAACCACACCAGAAATTCCTGAGATAAATATTCAGGAGAACACATTTACCTGTTAAGCCATAACATTTAAGAAATCCCAAGGGTTTGCTCTCCAAATTCTTATCAACTTTTTAATTAAAAAAAAAGGGAAGGGAGAAGAACAGTGACATTTAAAGTTATGATACCTTTTAGAATCTGCTGTCTGATTAAGTGATTTCAATTTCTTGGAATTTACTTCAGTTTGGAAATAATTCTTGAGAATATATAGTAACACAGGTGTTATACACTGGCTTGTGTTCTTCCAAAATCCATATAGTGAAGCTCTAACCTCCAGTGTAACTCCATTTGGAAATGGGGCCTTTACAGAGGCCGTTAAATGAGTAAAAGTGTTTAATGAGATCATAGTTGTGAAGCCCTAATAAATATGTCTGGTCTCCTTAAAAGAAGAGAGACAACAGGGATGCAAGGAAGGAGAAGGCCTGGTGAGGGCACAGCGAGAGGCGGCCATGTCCAAGCCAAGGAGAGGCCTCAGGAGAAAGCACCTCTGCTGACACCTGACCTTAGCTCACCAGACCCCAGAACTCTGAGAAACAAGTTTCTGTTGTTTAAGCCTCCCAGTCTGCGGCATTTTGTTATTAAAGTCCTGGAAGATTAATGTGATAATACATGGAAATACATCCACGTATATAGTGTGAACCCTCCTCCTCTTGATGCATTTTTCCTTTTCTTGTCACAAACTTCCAATTCATTTTTTAAAAAATTCCTTGGCTATAATTAGTTGGTCATTAAAACTGACAACTAATAGGCTGGACTGCCTCCCAGAGTTTCCTGTCACTAAAGGCATTTAAACAAAGAGCGACTGAATGTATGCAAAGATCAGATGCAATGAGAATGAAATTTTACTTGAAAATTTCTACCACTTAGACTGCCATCTAACATTGGGAAAAGGCTGTACATCCTTATGCAATTTCATTTTTTATATTGTTGATTCAAATAAAGGCTCTACTTACAAGTTCAGTGCATTTTAAACATACCTACGACTCTTTAGATTTAAGCTTTGCTATCTCTCTTTGACCTTAAAAAGGCAAAAATTTATGAGCAAATTAGCATAATACGCTTATTAACAATTTATGATAGTTAATGTATTATGTCACTCTTTCCAGAGAGAGAGTCAATACTCATCGTAGAGGGAACTTTGAAGACATAAATTCTACTGAAAACCTGAATTTACTGTCATAAACAGAAAGGCGGGGAAAGTATAACATTTTTTATTTTTACTAAACTACGCCTTTTGCAGATATGTCACAAGATCAAAAAATCTCCTTTTTAAATGTTTCCCCTCCATCTTTATTTATTTTTAAATCATGTTTATTCTATTACCGTTGCCTCAATTTTTCCCCCTTTGCCCTCCTCCACTTACCTGACCCTGCCCCCCGCTACCACAGTCAATTCCCACTCTATGTCCATGGGTCATTCCTACCTGTTCTTTGTCCAGTCCCTTCTCTTCTTCCCACCATTTGTTTTAATTTACATTCTGCGCTGCTGACTATCACCAACCACATCTACAACAAGCCGCCGCCCTACGGCTACAAGCAGATCACCAAAGAAGCAAAATAAGCATTGCTGTTCTGTTCTCTGCCACCCCGATCACCACAGCCACGTCTGAAATGCTGAAGCAGCAGGAGAACACCACTACCTTTACTTAAATGTTGTATGGCCGAGTAAATATGAATTAGGCGGAACACGAAGTCAGAAACACATATTCTTTAAAGACAGAATGAAAAAATAGTAATTACCTCTTCCTCAAGTCTGCCGTCTCGCAAGGTAGGAGGTATCCCCGGGTGCTTGGCTACCAACAATTCCATCAAATTATGAGTAGCATGAAGTCTCTACAAACACAGAAAAGGCAGTAATTATGAGCGGCGCAGTGAAGTCTAAGGAAGGACTTATTGTTAACATGGCATGCAGAGCATTAACACACGTAAATCGCTGATTTGAGTACCACTTTCTCAGAGAAAAACAAAGTCAGTTTTATAGTAAAGGTCTTAATTCACAATGACATAAATTTTCTTCAATGAAAAATCTAGCCTTATGAAATACATCTATGTAGTTAGCAGAATATGTAATAGGTGTATTTTTTCTATTATATACACATTTGCCTATATAGGGAACAAGGAGTATGCCAAGTAAAAGCAGTCAAATAAAAATGTAGACTGCAGGTACTTGATTCCTCTTCTGGGAAATGAGTCTAGATAATGCTAGCAATTATATCATGATAAAATAAGGATAATTATATGCATAAGAAAAAGGGCTATGATCTGGATCTGCCTAACTTAAGGGCTGAAGAGGGGAGGAGCTGGAGGTGGAGATGGCGTAGGAAAAGTCTATCACATATCTCTGTATTCAATATAAGCCAGGCTCCTTGCTGTGACATCAACTGCAACAGGTCAGAGACTCCTGGAGTCAAGGGTTATGAGGAGAAATAAAGTGAAGGTAATTTCTGTCTGTTAATTTGGGGAAATAGGAAAGGGCAAAAGGATCAGGTAAGCATTTTTCTGGTAAGATGTGATTTGGTGCCAGCAATTTGAGACCATAAAGGTTTATGCTTTTTGGCTACAGATTATGAGCTATGGTACAGACCTTTGTAGAGTTAACCTTTGAAGAGTTAACTGTTTTTAGGTCTTTTCAATATGGATTCATAGGTGATATAGTCACTAACACTATCGGATTTAATAACAACAACAGAGGTGTAAAGAACACTAGAGAAACCAAGCAGTTGAAACTTGGCTCCTCTAGTCTGTGCGTGCTTACGCAACAGGACTTTTGGTGCTTTCTGCCCCAGGTGGTGGAACAGACTGGGAGAAATACTCATCTCTCTCCATTCTTTACACATTTTATCCCAAGGGAACAGAGTGGCCCATCTGACTGGACAGTGCAAAATATTCAGTGGGCCATGCTTTACCATAGGTGGGGCTGTTAGGATCAGCAGGGAACAATGAGGCTGGTGGCTTCCTCTTGAACTTAAGCATACTGGACTTATCTACCTTGCTTACTCTCTATCTTTGTTTCCTTTATTCAGAAGCACGACACCTTTGCGTTTCCTCCTTCTCCCATGAGGCAAACACATTTGCTTAAGGTCGAGGGCCTGCCTTCTGCACTCCTTATCCAAGAAGAACATAAGCAGACTTATACTTAATTTTCCTTCTTCTTCTTTCTTCCCCCACGAGCCATATACCTCCCACCACCTGCTGAAGCACATGTCAACATGGAGGTCCCAGAGTCTAGATTCTGAATGGTAAAGGAGTCTCATCAGGGACTCAAGCCTAAACTTACCAAGACTAATAAAAGTGATCCTTATATACCACTCAGCCAGAGTCCTGTCTACATAATCCACTTGACAGAACCAAGAATGGGAAGAGACTTAATACTCAAATGTTGCAATTTAAATACCCAAATATCCCTGAAAGACCTCCAAAAAATTAAATTGGAAGATCACTGGATAGGTTTTATTGTTACTTAGTTCCATTGCTCACTTTAACTCATTTTCTTTACTTTTTTGGTCAAAATCACGTAAATAAGTAGGATGTTCACATTCAAAAGTGATAAAACTGACCTCATTCCTTAAAGTATGAATAACTCAAGCTGTTTTTCTAATGTAGGGTGGATATGCCTAGTCAGCCTTGTGCCTATGCTAGCGTGAGCATATGGAATAATAGTGATTCTCAAACTTTCATGTACAGTCAGCCCTCCGTATCTGTAGGTTTTGAATTTGCAGATTCAACAATGGACCAAAAATATTTAAAAAAAAAATTCCAGTGAATTCCAAAAGGCAAAACTTGAATTTGCCACACACTGAGCACTATGTTGAATACACACAAATGAAGTGATGTGCAGGCATACCCTGCTGTAGCCTATATGCAAACACGGGTTATATGCAAAACAATGCCATTTTATATGACAGACTCAAACATCTACAGATTTTGATGTCTTGCGGCAGGGGGAGAGGCCGTCCTGGAATGAGTTCCCTGAGGACACTGTGGGAAGGCTGTGTATGCAAATGATCTGGGTGCTTATTAAAAAGGACTGAATCCCAAATTTCATCCCCAGAGATTATGACTTAGTCCATTTGTTACCCTTCATCTTCTTAAATATTTAGAAAAATAATTTTGTAAAAAGAACACACAAAATATGTACTTGAAACTGTTTGGTCTGTACTCACTTGGAGTGAATCGGTTTTGAGTTTCCCTTTGTGCTCCTCTGATGAACGCAGCACTTCCCTGTACAGTTCCGCTGCCAGCGCATACTCGCCTGAGGAATTAAAACACAGTTAAAGCACAAAAAGTCAGGTATTGAGATCCCAATGTAATCTAGTCATCTGTATTTTAAATATCTGTAAAAATACACCTTAGAGATTATAGCTCATTATGTTTTAAAGAAGAAATTGGACTTGACATTAATATGATTGACCCAGTAAAAAAATTCCTTTTTGTTAATTACGCAGAACAGAACAATGATCAGATACATTTACAATGCTTTCAAGTTATACTGAAAAGCAAACGCTGAATTAGCTTCTAATTTAGACAAATGATTTTCGTCTCACTGAGGTCAGAGTACCAATTAATAATTATGATGTTTGAAATTAGGACAAGTGATATAGGTATTCATATTTTAAACAAATATTCAAAATACTATGGCCAACCAACACATAATTCTCAGTCTTCTTGACAGGTGGTGTTCTTCTTGGTAACCAAAATAATTTGCAATTAAAAACTACATTTCAGTAGTGGTTCAGGGGATTGAGCGCCAGCCTGTGAACCAAAGGGTTGCTGATTCAATTCCTAGTCAGGGCACATGCCTGGGTTGCAGGCGAGGCCCCCAGCAGGGGGTCCACACATTGATGTTTTTCTCCCTCTTTCTCCTTCCTTTCCCCCTCTCTAAAATATAAATAAAATCTTAAAAAAAAAATAAAAACTACATTTCAAAAACTTAAAGAGATTCTTTTTTCCATTTCTGGCCACACAAATCATAATTACCCTGAGATTTATGCTGCTTTATATTGTTCATAATTAGCACTTCATTCAAATAAAATAATTGAAAAAGTATTAATTAAAAGTACAGGATGGTAAACTATGGCCCATGGGTCATATCTGACCCTCTGTATTTTTGTAGGGACTTGAGCTAAGAATGGTTTTTGTATTTTTAAATAGCTGAAAAAGAAATTCAAAGGAATAATACTTGGTGAAATGTAAAAATTATGTAAAATTAACTTTCGGGGCCCATGGATAAAGTTTTATTGGATCTCAGCCATGGCCATTTGTTTATGGCTGCTTCTGCACTGTAGCAGTAGAACTTACTAGCTGCAATAGATCTATGGCTTGCAATGTCTAAAATATTTATTATTTGGTTCTTTCAGAAAAAGTTTGATGACACCTCAATGAAAGGAAAGATGAAACATGTTTAATGGCATGAGTAATGAAATCTATCTTATTTGCTGCCTAGGGAAAAACTTTAAACTGGTAATTTATAAATACAATTAAAATAAAAATCTAAAAGTGGCAGAATCATGAATTACAAAAAAAGGCATAGAAATGTTCTAGTTTCAGTTTACTGACAAAAAAAAAAAAAAGCCTTTATTTCCTGTTCATTACATACACTTGCTTTTTGTTTTTGTAACTTCAATCTAGTTTTATTAGTATTGTAGATTAAGGACTCTGTTCAGATCCATAATGAGTTTTCTCTCTCTCTCTCTTAATACCTAGCTTTGTAAATTCTGCCCTTGGTTTTCTCTCTCTCTCTCTCGTTAATGCTGATTATATATAAGTATATATTTTTATTGTAAAATATATATAACATAAAATTTACCATTTCAACCATTTTAAAATGTGCAGTTCAGTGGCATTAAGTACAGCCACATTACTGTGCAAAACACTTGTTTTTACACCACTGTTCTATATTGAGCTCTACCAGTCACCTAATACAAACTTTTACAAAGCATTACATTTTCATACTCCTTTACAGTCAGCCAATTTTTATTCACTTTGGTAAAGAAGATTATTTTCACAATCAAATCCCGTTATAACGTAGGAGTGACACTCAACTGCCATCACACAATGAGCCCTTTTTTTTAGTTTCAAAGATTTTTGTGAAGCTTTTCAAAAGACTTATACATTCTCTTGGTATTTATACTATCATTTATAAAGAAAAATTCACTTGAAAATTCTCCCTTTATAATTACTAATACCTTTTAAAGGAGGTATAATAACTAAAATATAATGTAAGCAGTTGAATTTGAACTATTCACTATAGTACCTATTTTTTTATGTTTACTACAAAAAAGACATGCTGCCTTGGGAAGACACAAAAATATGCATATTCTGTGAGTTATACAAGTTTAAGTCAAATTTGGAAATACCCACTCCTTGCCACTTGATGGCTGTGACATTTTCAAGTAAACAAACTATACTGCATTTGATATTGCCAACCCAATTTTCTCCAAAAAAAAAATGTGCAGTAAACATACTATACAAAATTAGAATAATACCATATTTTTAATATAATCAGTGAGGACTTAGGAAAAAATGTACATTAACGCAGTACTGTGAAGTTAAGCGATGGAAACTAAAAGCAGTAAATTCATCATAATTAAGTGCATAATTACAATTAAACAATGGACATAGCCTTTACTAATGGACTTTCTGACAGGAATTTCTATTAACAGTTAGCAATAGCTTTCATTCATGGCAGACCAAGAACTACAGTGGGAATGCAGTGGGAAGTATCTGGAAACATCTGGAAAGAGCAGTGCTGTCCCTGCTGCGGGGCCGCACCACAGTACTCTGCTACACAGGGGCCAGCTACCTGCCGATCCTGCCGCAGTGCGACAGTGTTTGGGAACGACAAGGCGAAAAACCATTTTTCCCAATGCCCATATCACGTATAACCTCACAGTAAAAGAAGGAGACAATAAATCCAATAAGGAAACTAGAAAAACAGGACAAGCGAAGAAATTCATTAACTGTCTAAACTTCTGAGTAATAACAATGTAGAATAAAATCAGAAATGCAGTTTTAGAATCAAAAGGCAAAATGTGAACTTTATTTTTATTGCTGTGATTCTCTACAAGTAATAATTACTCCATTTCCTAAGTTTTGATGGTGAGCATTAACCTACTATAGGCAGCATACTATTGAGGTCTATAACTGTCTATTTGATGAAGAAGCAGACATAGTATAATAAAAACATTAAATATTTGATCTGAAATCCAAAGATTCAGGGCAAATTCTCTTCCATGTATTAGCTACAATCTCAAGAAAGCAACTAAGCCTTCTGAATTCCAGTTATCTTATACAAAATGGGGATGATAATATCTCAATCACTGGGTAATTATGAGGATAAACTGGAATATACACAGGAAAGTGTAATGAATATAAAATGCTTGTAACAATATTATCATTTCTCAGATACGATGCTGGATTTAATGACCTAGGGAGTTTAAAGAGTAAATGCGATAGTCAAGTATTCTGTTGGTCACAATGATTCTACTCCATTAATTTGGGGCCACGATCCACCAGCACTAAATACAACATATAACTTCCCAGTTTATGCCTGATTACTTCCATGTCAAGATAATTTAAAAAGTTTAGTTAAAAAACTAATTTCTACTAAATAGTCTCCTTACTTAGTTGTTCACTTTGGATGGTAGCACACAGACCGTTTCAGATGGCAGACCAGTGCCTGGGACGCACAGGGTCTCAGGCACACGCAGCAAGCGCGAGGGCAGTGACGACGGGAGTGGTGATTAAGAATCGTTAGAGCGAATCCAAGCTTGCAAACACTGCTGGCTAAGTTGCAGATTTCCAAGGGAATGTCTTAAGGGAAAATTTGCTCACAAACGTGCATGTGTTATATTTAAATAATTTATCAAGTTTATGTAATAATTTGCCCTTTTCTCTTATTATTATTAATAAAACTTGCATTGTGAGCAAGTGGTAAGAATTTGGGGGCATTTCATATTACTACAATCAACAACACTGTACTTTACCTATATGTGTGGCTCAAGTTTTCAATGGGCATCCACACTTCACATTAAGAACAATACTTCAAGGCACATGGGATTATCTATATTTTATTGCTAAGGAAACAGATTCAGAAACCTTGAATAAAATATTCAAGTTCACAGGACTGCAACTATAACAAAGGAGAAGGCTTATCTTTTAGTTCTTGTCTTAAGCTACTTCTCAGCATCTGTGAGTCTTTCTAATGCTACCCAAATATCCAGGAGTATAAGAGACACTATAGTTCTGATTCTGTTATGGTCAAGAGCTAATAACAAAAGACATGCCACTCCATTTAAAGAGACTTAGCACATTTCCTTGGATTCCAAAAAAGCACCAATTTTTTTCTGGGCAACTGATTTCTTTAAAGTCTTATTGCATAAATGAGAATAGTGGTAAATCTTCTCCATGACTGTGTACCCAAGTAGGCTAATGGATTAGTAATCTTTGTCAGAAGGTTTAAGGGACTGAACTTATCATAAAATGTCTTTCCAGCTCAAATGTCTTTCTGGCTCTAAATTATAATCATGAGCTAACTTCACAGTTTTTATAAGAAATGCAGAAATAAAGACGCATTTGTATATCCTAAATTATCAAAGTGCTTAAAATTATATATTATTCACCATTATGAAATACTTACGTGACTTTAAAGACTATATTCTACTTAGCTTTGGAGAGAATAAGAAAGCTCCTAAGAGTCACTGCGGTTTATTATAAAGACTACAAAACTGTACAGTCTCTCATTGAATTAGAAATGCAACGATAGATAGAAGTAGCTGTTGAAGACAGCACTCAATGACTCATTAAAGTTGCAAAAAGTAATACTGGAGTTTGAGTAGTCAGAAGCGTTATCATGAAGAAAAATGAGAGACAACAAAGCAATCACCTTCTACCTTTAATGATGTGGATGCCTGCTAGGCCATTGAGAGCACAAACGAGCTGCCGATGTGCTTCCTCACATTCAGTTGCACATTTCTTCTGCAGGGATGTGAGAAGCTCTTCCATGGTCATGGTGCTGAAAGAAGAGGTTGACTGTTCAGGACTAGAAAGAAAACCCTAAAGTGACAGTAGTATATCACATAAAACCATCAGACTCTTAGAGTCTTTGTGGTACCTTTCTCTTCACTTCCACTTTTATCACTATCACTTTTAACCTAACTACAGTGATCCTCTCTTACCTGTGCGGATGCATTCCAAGACCCTCAGTAGATGCCTGACACCATGGACAGTTAGTTACTCAACCTGATAAGCCAAAATATGTAAGAAGAAAAGCCTTTCATATCTGGAGTGAAACAAAAAGACCCAACACAACAAAACAATAGTCCGAATTTGAAAAGGAAGGTTCAAAACCATAAAAATAATTTTGATGATGTGATTCTCTCTCACAAATGGGACTCCACACCAGAGAAAAACCACCACACTGCTAAAAACAACTGAGAACTCAGTGACGAGGCCGTGAAACTGTGGGGCAGACAGCTAATTGCTTAGATATCGTCCATTACTACTACACTCTCAGTTGCAGCAGAAAGAAATGGATAATAAAACCTTTTTTGGAGTGGCAGGAACTCCCCGCGAACGGCCTGTGGGTGGCAGCAGGCCTGTCTGAGCCTCAGCAGTGGGTACAGGATGGAGGTGACAGTCCTTCTGTCCAGGCTGCTGAGCTTCAGAGCCCAGTCGGAGATCTTCCTGAGCTTGACGACCGCGTCCTGGCAGCACACCTCATGCTGCCGGTGGTAGAAATGCCTCTCCACCGGAGAGAAGTGGAGCCAGTGCGTTTCCTCCGTCTGAGGAGGTATTTGAATCTGCAGACGGGAAAGGAAAAAGAGGTTTCACCTGGAACCTTCACTTAACTGTCTAACCCATCTCTTCTTTTCCCTTTGAATACCATTAATCAATAAGAACTTATGAGTACTGACTTGGTCAATCACATCTTTCTTCGCAGACCTCCACAGAATCTTGGCAATGAAGCTGTAGAGGGGCTGAGGATTCTTCTTGCAGTAAGGGCGATAGAGAAGCCGAACCCACCAGTGTCGGACACAGAAAGGTTCCACACCGAGAAAGACCACTAACCCGAAAAGATCTGAAAATTAAAACAAAAACAAAAACAAAGTTCATTGAGAATAATTTCTTCTATATTTCTTCATTACTATCTTTCAATAACCACTTTCAAAGACATTACACAGCACATAGTACTATCATGCAGGTTGTGCACTCTCGAATCTGAAAAGTCAATTCCAATTCAACTTACATTTGCTAAGTATTTATTTTGCTATACATTTTGTGCTAGCAGCTAGTTTTATATATATACATTTATATATGTAATATATAAATGTATATATATGTAATATATATAAATGTGTGTGTGTGTGTGTGTATATATATATATATATATACATAGCACTAAAACTTATAACGTTTGCTAGATCAGAAAAAAAGGTAATTACAAAGGTGACATGGAAAATATTCTCTGACCTAATATTCTTCAAACTCTTTGATCTGATAATTCTGCTCCTAGGAAATAAACTTAAGACAACGTTAAAAAATACAGACGATATACCTAACACAGCAATAATTATAGCAATGATATACCAAATAAAAATACTCAAAAAAAGGAACGATTAAATAAATATGGTACCCCTCTCCCCCATAATATAGAACACCCCCCAACCCTCCATCCAGCAGGTCTTGTGTTGTTAGCTTTACAGCATGGTATTTCTTATATATTTCTTGATCAGACACTCAAGGAATATTATATTTCCCCGGTTTTGCCCACTGAACATTATAATCTAAGCAGTGTTTCAGATATTCAAGATGAATTTTCAAACAGGGAAAGCAGCTTAGGATACAATGTAAAGTAAAAAACAAAAATGAACGGAATATAGAGTTATGCATGAAGTATAAGTGCAAATATATAACATTTAAAAGACAGGAACAGTGCTTATGTCATCAAATGAAGACTTTAGCTAAGTATAATTTTTAAAATATTTTTCTATATTGTTTAAACATGTTCACAATCAGTATATATTCTCTTTTAGAAGCCATAGAAAGATGACCAACAAATATTTAGGTTGAATTACATTACTCTGGTGGTTCCTGAGACTTAGTAATATCTGAAAAAACCACTGCCTACATGCAGGTATCCACAGATCTAAATTTCCTGCTCAAATCAATCCAATTGCCTATGTGTATCTTTTCTTTGAGGTCTCAAAGATACCTCAAACCTAACCTGCCAAAATCAAATCCATCATCTTTTTGCCCAAACATGCTTCTCTTCTAGTGCTAATCACTGGCAAATATTTCCACTATGCATGGAGTTAGCAAGTCAGAAATCTTGGCATTTCCTGATCTATCATTAAGTCTGGTTAAGTTTTCCTTATCCACTTTGTTGTATTTCCTCAAGACAGCCTGGTCCAAATCCAAAATGCCAGCATTACTTGCCTAGATTACTCATTGTAGCCAATCAATTGTAGTGTTCTATCCATTGTGCCCCCAATGGAAACCATTCTCCACATTGCAACTAAGGATCCTTTGAAATTTAAGTCTAACCATGAGATGATCCCTAATCACTTTGTGTAAGTCCTTTCAATAACTCCCACTGTTCTGAAGAAAATAAGTAAGTAAAATTCTTTATCATGACCTGCAATACCCTCCATGGTCCAAGGGGTATCTATTGATTCACTTTCTCAACCCACTATACCTTCCCAGCTGTTTGTACCCTAGCCACACCATATGATCTTTGTATTTTGTTTCTTCTACATAGAGCATCATTCCCCCTCTTCTTTACCTAGCTCATGTCACTGGTTCAGATCTTAGTGCAGTTTTCACCTCCTTCTGAATCTCTTTTATGTTATGTCACAAAACCAGGAATCTTTTTTGGAAACTGTTATAGTGAGAATTATTTATTTATCTCATATATGAAAGTTATCTTGATTGCAATCTTGTATTTGTCTAGGCAGTTAATAAATATATCTTCTCCTCTAAACTGTAGGCTTAATAATGTCAGGGACCTTGTCTATTTTTTTGCACATTATTATATCTCAAAAAGAAAGAATGAAGCAATAAATGCACCCTAAAGTACTTCAGGTAAAGTCTACATTTTTAGGAAAACTAAAAATAAATGAAAAGACAGATGAAAACTGACATAGGAAGGCATGGAAGCAGCTATCATTGAATATTTATTACCTGCCAGAAACGGTGCTAAATGCTTTGTAACCTGTGTTAAAATTAATCTTTAGAACGCCTTATTTTACAAATAAGAATTTGAATAATTTGGCAATTTGTTCATGGACATACAACTAATAAGTCAGGGTGTGAACCTAGGTCCATGTCTCTCCCCAAGCTGGTACTCTGCATAAGACTATACAAACAAGTTTATTACATAGACGTGGGGGGCGGTGGGCGGGTGAGCTGCAATGATCTTGCTTGTTTGACTTTCCAAGGATAGTGTGACCTTATGTCAGCTTGCCTGTGGAAACAGACAAAAGGCCTGGCAAATTATGGAATGCAAATACCTTAGCCTCATTTTCTTGCTCAGTATGTGGCCAGTCTGGAAGTCACAAGACCTCTGGGTTGTTGCTAATTAATAAACTATCAAATCTGATTTCTCTCAGTCTAACACACTGGTTCTCAACTGAAGGGGAGGTACAGGGGTGCAATTTTGCACTGCAGGGGACATTTGGCAATATCTAAAGCCATTTGTGGGTGTCACAACTGTAGGAGTTCGACCAGCATCTAGTAGGTAGAAGCTAAATATCCTAAAATGCACAGCACAGCTGCCAACAAAAAAGAACTATCTAGCTCAAAATGCCAATGGGGCCAAGGTTGAAAACTGCTGGTCTACCACAAAAAGAAAATAAATGAGACCTCCACTTCCAAATACCATATAGTAATTCACAGTAGGCTAACACTCACTCTGTCCCACAACCACAAAAAGAACAGATATACTGCAAGAATCAGAGTGTGAAAGACATCAGAGAGCTACGGAAGCAAAGAGGAAATATAAGCTAAAATCCCAGTAAGTCTGGAAAAGCTTTTTTTTTAGGTAATGTGGGCAGGAAGAAACTTTTGGAGGTGGTTATCTTGATTATGGAAATCGATTCATGTGTGTACCCATATGTTCAAAGTTTCTAAATTTTACATTTTAAATATTTACAGTTTTATGATGTCATTTATACCTTAATGAAGCTGATTTTAAAAACATTACTCAAGACCTGGCTGAATGGTGACAAGTGCCCAAAGCACCTATTAACATTTCACATATACAAATAATCTACCCAGATAACTGAGGAATTGTTGCTCACATTCTTTTGAAAAATTAAAATTAAAAAAAAGTAACTCTGACAGTCATTTCCTTTTTTTCTGTACCATCGAAGCTAACTTTTGAGTTCAATGAGATCTTAGTAACATCTAAACATTTACAATTTGAGTGGTTTCCAAATATAACAGCAGACCACTAAATCTGGCCTTTTAATTACCCTGATATTATAATATAAATATGTATTTTAATGTAAGTTACTAAAATTATACAGATATTTAAGTATGTATTTATAAAATCTTCCAAGGTAACCTTTTTCTTTCTAAAAATACTTGTCAAAAAACATACTGCTTCTCAGGTCACAGTTAATGGATGTTGATATTTTTATTTTAGCAGAGGGATAAGTTATCCTGACAAACACAAGTATACGAAAACTTAAATTTTCAGGAAGATAATTTCTGAGGATGGATATTTGCCACAGGACTCCAAGAATATTTATATTTTATAATTTAGCTACATTTTAATGACAGCTTTTTCGGAAACTTCTTATATAAAACGACATTTAAACTTTTTAAATATTCACAACTTAAATAAAAGTTTTAAAAATTCAATATCTACTCTTTGGAAACAGTTAGTTATATGAATGAGATTACAGAGAAACATGAGTTATAATGTGTGTTTGAGAGGAAGGGCAACCTAGACACAATCTAAATGTCTAACAAGAGGAATGGCTGAAGGAATAATGGTATAACCATATAGTACGATATTATAAAGCTAATAATGTTTTGTAACTTTTACAATTAGTGAAATTATAGTCCCACTATTTGTGGATTCAGGCAATGAAAACAATGATCCTATTTTTACAGATGCAGCCAATTAAAATTAAGTCCCCTGCCACTCCGGCCCCGCCTCTTGTCAGATTCTTTCCGTCTTCTGTCTACTACTTGGGGACTCTGAGTTCAGCTCAGACCCACATGGACACTGATGAGGCAGGCACAGTAATGGCTCAACTTAGGGCCCTGGGACTTCTCACTATGCATCTGTCCTCATATCTACAAACAAAAATCACCCATTTCCATTTAAAAAGATAAATGCTTGAAACTACTAGGAGTCAAATATAAATACACCTATAATCACTTCAGTAAGGATTTAGCAAGGGTTAAACATAACAATATTTTTCTTCAGAAAAATTAAGCTCCTCAAGTATGCGTGACATGTGAGGAAGCCAACGTTACCCTCCAGTCCTCTCTGCACCGGAGTGCCACTGATGCACCAGCGATTGATGCCGCTCAAGCGCTGAGCCATTTCTGCAGCCTGATAAGAGAGAGGTGCGGAACAAAAAAGAAAAAAGAAGAAAAAATGCGTAAGTCAGGAAAATTTACTCATGAAAGCAGCCCACAGAAAGCTACGCTTCAGGTCAGGCACACCTGTTACGCAGCAGTTATCACCGCCCAGTGCTGACTGTCCTATGCCATGGGCTAACGTAGAGCACAGTGTTTCTCCTTAGACGCCACGTGCCCCCCAAGAAAGGGAGTGTAGTTCAAGTATATGGAGAATGAAAAGGCTCCCTGCTCCCTGAATGACTGATGTATCTCACCCCATCCTTCAGATGTGAACCACTGTAAAAACAGATGTGATTCACAAATTTAGGACAGGTTACAGACTGACCAAAGACGACAGAATAAAGACATGTATGACAAAGGCTGAATCAAAATTCTATCTTCTAAAGTAGCATTATCATTGCCATCTAGTCTCTCTGGTAAAAAATGCCAAAGTCAACTTTGGTCCAAAGCTACCAAAGACTATATGATGCTTATGAAAGGCCCCAAATATAGTTTACTTTGATCTTCATCACACACGAACTGCCATCTTATTCCAATATACATTGGCATTGCGTACAGAGCAAAGTTTCACAAAGTACCAAAATAATTCCTCAGTTATGCAGTTCACAGCATAAGAGAAAAACAAATGTAAGAGTAATTAACAGCAAACTTTCGCCAATAGCAATATTTATGGGCTAATTACACTGAAATTATTAACTTTTCTATGGACAGTTTCTCCCAGTCCCTTCCCCTGGTCCCTTCTGCAGTCTCAAAAGATTCTGCAGAGATTCTCACCTTGACAGCAGGACATTCAACCATCTGAGCTTCATCCAGACAGATCCTCCACCACTCCACAGCAACGAGGGGGCTGGGGATGGCCATGTAGCGCTTCTGGTTCCGTAAGCGACGCCCGTCCTCACTGTTGCTGTGTGGGATATCTACGTAATTCAGCTCTGAACGAAGGACATCATAGGTAATGATAACTATATCCTGTTCTGCCAAAAAGTGAGGCTGTAGAAAGCCATGTTTCTTCACTCCTTGATATACCTAGGAAATAATCAGCACAGACATAGTTAACTACGGAAAGGCTCCCAGCAATAATTGCAATAGCCATTCACGTATACTCTGACTGAGTCCTTTCTCCTTGTTTAGGAACAAACATGCTTGGAGATACATTTCATACCTGTCTAGAGAAAGACACATTTTAGTGTGGAAGACTAATAACAAAAGCAATGTAAAAAGGAATTGTAAAAGAAGTAAACGTGATAGCATCACAGTGGAAGGACCGATTCTATGGCTGAGAAGGTAAATTTGGAGAGAAGTTAAAGTTAGAGGTGGATCTTGAAGAACACTTAAGAGTTCTCAAGGAGAAGAAAAGGGGAAAAGGACATGACATATAGGTAGGTAGGCAGATGGAATCAACAGCATGTGCAAAAGCACAGCAGTATGAAAAACTAGGAGAGTAAGAGCTATTATTTACTGAACGCCTTTCATGTTGCAGATGCTGTGCTAAGCTTTAGCTATGTTCAACAACAATCCTGTTAGAGGCTGTTATTATTCCTCTCTCACACGTAAGAAACATGAAGTGCCTTGCTCAAAACTGGTAGAGCCAAGGTTCAAGCTAAAGTCTGTTTACCCCACAGAATAGAGCTCCTGAATCACAAAGATGGTGTTTTGTTTATTCCTGCACTCTCTCTCCATGCCTATGATAGTGGCTGAAATATAGAAAACCTGCAATAACATTTGAATGGAAAGAAGAAAAGAAGAACTGAGTGTAGAGCACTAATATCAGTAAACAGTAACACTGAATGACCACAGACCACGTGCCAGCACTTTAACAAATAATTTAATCTTCACAATAAGTCTGTGAGGGGACACTATTTTCAGAACTTAGCACAGTTCATGGTACAAAACAGGGGCTCAATAAACACTTGTTGAAAAAGTAAAGTCTTCTTTTACACATGAGGTAACAGGCTTCGGGGGATGATTCTGGAGCTAAGAGATGGTGGATCAGACAAGTAGCTACTATCATACAATGCTGTTATTGAATTGCATTTCTCTCTGAGTATAAATGCTCAAACAAAGACTTTCATTTACGTGATAAAGAATTTTTTTCAAAAGCTTTCACATCTTTCTGTCCGAGTACTTTAATTTCTGAACTTGGTATCTGAAAAAAATAGTTTACTGTTCTATTTCATATTCTCAATTTTCTCTTCAAATTCTGACTCAATATTAATTTTTGGGATAAACAACAAAGAGCTAAAGAGTATACAACAAAGAGACAAAGATGAGAAAAACTATCTTAAAGAAGCAAAAACTTACATTTCCCTACTCCTTTAAAGAGCCCAAACCGCCTTACCAAGACTCGAAGGGATGAGGACCGCACGTGCCTGTTGATTTCGTCCACCCACTGGTGACAGATGGAACTGGGCGAGATGATCAGAGTTGCTCTTGTTGATACTGGCTCCATTGCAACAAGGCAGTGGGGGCAGTAAAAAGGCTTAATCTTCAGATTCTTCTCTTCATAATTCACACATTCTGCATGTTGCCACAGGTGGCATTTCAGGCACTGAACACGAGGCTTACGGTCCATATGGTCAAGTTCACCACAGATACACTCGAAGCGATAATCAGATGAATTACAGAGACTCGCGACATTAGAATGTGGAACATCACCACCTGTGGGGTTTAGAGATTCAGCTTGGTCCTCTGTTGCATGTTCTTGCTGGACTTCAAGGACACATGTGCTTTTGGAGGTGGTAACGTCAGTAATTCCAGAGTCACTTGTAGCTGGATCGCGATCTTGGGAACTGAGATTGATGTCAGGCTGACTTTTGTCCTTTTTTGTGGATGAAACAGGCTTTTTCCTCATTTTACTACGGTTTCTCCTGGGCTTATCATAATAATAGTATGGATCATCATCATCCTCAGAGGTGTTTGATGGCAAGTACTCAGAATCTGTGTCCTTGCTCACTGATTTCCTGGATTCTTTCTGAATTTTCCTTGGACTCCACACTGCCTATGAAAAACATCATATAATTAATTTATTTCAACAAATTACATTTCTTGAAAGTAAATTCCCGACTTTATTATGCACTTTACATAAAAATCCTGTACTTTTTTTTTCCTGAGGGGAATCACTCCTGATCAGTGGCTTCAACATGCCCTCTGTAAGATCCCTCCCCCACAGCCTGCAGGTCTAAAAGAAAACAAGGGCTTACTGTGTAAGATGTGGAGAAAGAATTAGAACGATAGAGGGAAGTACTAATACTTTCGTATTAACCTCTTTTAATTTATAGTCTGCCTAAAACAATAAAAAACTAGCAGTTATAATACATATACAAACTAGGGCAATTATAAAAACACCAAGACTAAAATATAGCTAGTTACTGCATTTAGCAAATAAAGCCGGCCTTTCCTTCTTATTTCTATTTGTGTCACCTCCTGCAATTACTTATTGAATGCCAATCAATTCTGTGTGATGTTTGGGACACAAACATGAGAAATATTCAGCCCCTGCTCTCAAAGGGGCATGTTGGAAAGGAGAGAACAGTAAAAAGTGTAACAACTCTACAGGAATGTGTAAGAGGAGCGTATAAATGTGAGCTGTGATGAGAAGGCAGGTGCCAGCAGTAGCTCCCCAGAAAAGATGTCAGAGCCAAGGCTGAACAGAGGAGTTGGGACACTTAACATGGAATGAATAGTACCAACTGAAGGAGACTGTCTCTTTTTGGTGACAGAAGAATTAGGAAGAGCACAGAAGTTCAATGCAGTCTCCTACCCCGGTGGAGGAAAAGCTGTTGGAGACTCCAAAACACTGTTGGAGACGCCCTTACCCAGCACTGTTCGCGGTAGCCAAGCTGCTAGCTCCACACTTGGACTTGTCATTAGTCTTTCCTTGATTTATGTTTATAAATTTGTATCTATTTTCTTAAGAGCAAACTGAAATTAACTACCCCAAAGAAGCAGGTCTATAACAAAATGTAAAAATTTTGTAAGATGATGAACATGGGCAAAATGAGAATTTATGTAAAAGATTCAAAATGTATAGAAAGAGCTATGTACATATGAGGTATCGTTAACATTTTAAAAATATAAAACAAACTTTTAAACTGCTGAAAACAGCATAGAGGAGTTAAACTTCATAATATGTTTAACCAACTAATTTTATAATTCAATCAATAAATATTTGAGTACTTATTCTATGCCACATACTTTTCTCTGGGCTTAACAGTAACCAAAATAAAGTTTCTACTTTCACAGCACTTACCTTCAGGAAGCAGAAAACCGAAGCCATAGCCCTAAGTGATGTTCCTAACTGGTCTGCTTTTTATTTTCAGACTGTAAGAGCTACGGTGTCAGTGTGGGATCTGCCAACTCATTCTATAAGGCCTCATATATAGCTACTTAATGAGTGTTCTGTTACCTGCTTTTTTGTTTTATCATATATATCTTCTTCCTTGTAATTCTTCCCCAATGTAAAAGTCCCAGAAAAACCATGGCCTTTGATTTGCTTCACAAGACCTTCAAAAATCAAACATTTCAGCATCCGTTTCAGAAGACTCCTGTTACGCTGAACATCATATCTGTATATAGAGCTGACATACTTATAGATGGAAAGGATGGAAACGCCTTTTTTTCCATTCATTTCTTTCACAGCTGTCAGGATCATCACACGTGTAGCTAAATGAAAAGGATATGCTAACTCAGTCAAAATAGTTAAAATTAAAAGAAAATAGAACTCAGTTAATCTTAATGTGCACTGAGGACCAAGTTAGTAAAGGCATGTTATCTCTACACTGTCATTTTGAAGAATATGTAATAAAAATTTATCTCAACACATTAAGAAATAAATTCCTACAATGGAAACAATTTAAGAAAGAATTAGTCATGAATTTGTTAATTTTACAAAGCAACTATTATTTAAGATTATATAACAAAACCTTTCATAATTATCTATGTGTATGCTATTATTAATAAGGGAAATATTCATTTGCTAGCAGAAATTAAAGTAGCTATGCTTGAGAATAAATAAAGCCTGGTTTAAATTGTAAGCTAAAGAAATTTAAATATAATATTGAGCAAAACTACATGGACCGAGTCAGATTTTTAAAAATCTTGATTTTTGTTAAGATACTATGACTTGTAATTGCACTCATTCATGCAAAGTATAAACAACTATATAAAAGCAGTTATTCATAACAATGACAAGATATCTTATTTAAAGATTATAAGAACTACAACAGAGAACATTGTAAAAAGATACTTTCATTAAGAGACTTCATACTTACGGGGGCACTGAACTTTTTCTTTTGGTTCATTCCCCATGTTTTGAGTTTCTGTGTTTTTTACTTGTCCTCCAGAACAATGTGATGGAGTGAAATAATTCACCACTTTTCCCTAATATAAACAACAGTCAGTAGTCACACAGTGTTTTGCTTTCAGTATTCTAAGTTGCTTATTAAAATTAGGCTTCCTTAAGAAGCCAAACAATTATGAAAAGTTATTTTAAAAAAGGGCTAAATAGGCTATTCATAGATACAAAATTTATTTTTTATTTCAGGGCTTATAGCTAGCTATTGCTTTTTTAAAATGTGCATATTATCTTAAATTATCTAACTTAAGTGTGGACTTCCGCAAGTAACTTTTTTGGTTAAATATTTTTTTAGATTTTACTTATTTAGTTTTAGAGCAAGGGTAAGGAAGGGAGAAAGAGAAGGAGAGAAATGTCGATGTGTGAGAGATACATCAATTGGTTGCTCCTTGCATGCCTCTAACTGGAGACCTGGCCTGCAACTCAGGCATGTGGCCTGACAGGGAATCGAACCGGTGACCTTTTGGTTCACAGGGTGGCTCTCAATCCACTGAGCTACACCAGCCAGAGCTGCAAGTACCTTTTTAAGGCTTACTTGAATAAAGAATTAACCCACTGAATTTATGATAATGCTAAGAATAACTTAGAGTCGAAGAAAATGCCAGAAAGAAGTCAGTAATAGTTACAACTGTATATTCCAACTCACTTTTCTACAAAGAAAATAAGACATTTTCTATTACCTTCTCAAATCTGAAAGGCTAACTTTGCAAACTTGACCCTATCAAAAGATAATATAATCACTAAGGTTGTAAGCATGGTGAACCTTACAGGTAATTACAGTTATAGCCTTAATTAGTGGCCTAATTTCAGAATATTTAATTTTAGATTTCATTGTGGAAAAATATGAACTCTATTGTCTCAAAAATTCTAAAATTTACACTTTGACACATGCATATATTTTGGAACAAGGACTTAAGAGTTTGTTTCATCTGGCACTCTAATTACTAAGCCACACACCCTTTAACAAAGTTCTAATTATTATATTATTGATTTACATATCTGAGATTTGTACAACTTTTAAAAGATAGTCTAAAACTATTTAGTGGTCATATGGAGACTTGTGGTAGTGACATATTTAAGTAACAGTATTTTCCTATGGGAGTTTCTGTGGCAACTAAAAGGAAGCTTGGTTATTGACAGCACATCCCCCTTCCCAGTTGGCCAACATCACTTAAAAAAACCCTGCCATGTCACAAACATCCCATTCTCTGTACCCACCTGAAGTTAACTAGTAACTAGTATGTCATTAGTTGCAGCATAAATTTTAAGTGTTAACTGAAGTGCCCAGCAAATGTTCAACATATGATGATTTATGGGAACATATGTCCCCTTCCTTCCCAAGCCCCACAGTACTCCTACCTCAGGAACAGTCAGCGCATCTTGTTTGACATCTTGTCGAGTATGTGTCAGAATCAGAGCCAAAACCTCCACTGTCTTTCCAAGACCCATCTCATCTGCTAAGATTCCACCAAACAACTGTGGCCCAGCACTTGGGTACTCACGGATAATGCTAACAGAAAAAACAAGAAAAATACATCATAGGACTACAAGTAAAAATGATGCTGTTCTTAAAAAGAACTGGAAAAAATGCATACAGTCTAACTTTTAAAGCTACATTTTAGCATGAAACAATTCAAATCCCTATTTCATAAATATAAGAACTGTGATAATCAAAAAACTAACCAAGCTGACAACTAGGTCTGAAGAAACAAGAGTGGCGTTGGCAAATAGCCACCATTTTTCTCATCTAAAATAAAAGGTAGCATGCTTGCCTTCTTTCTATGACCTCTATGAATTTGGGAATAAACAAATAAGAAGCTCAGTAACTACTGATTCACTAATCATGTTTAGTGATTCCTAAAACTCTCTTATAATAGGCATTGAAAAATTTAATGAAAAATACAAAACTGACCCATAAGATGACATTTTTACTTAGAATTATAATCTATTTATATATCAATAACTAAACATCTTAAGTCTTTTGTATAATATTCATTTACTGAAGAATGACAGGCGCTATTCTATAGCTATTCTGTCCATAAAAATGTCTAATAAGACTTTAACTCAGTATTCCTTCTTGAGGTACTGCCAAGGCTAAAGATATATATGACCAAACTCATATAGATTTTCATAATATTTATTTTTATTATCAAACACATAAAATTTTGCCATACCAGCCTGTGTATGGATTGTAGTAGAGTTTCAGACCCTCAGATGTAATGATCTCTCGCCATAGGAAGTGCAGGGCATTTTCTAAAAAAAACAAACAAACAAGAAAACATATATATATATTTTATATATATATATATAAAACTGTAAGTTTTGTTTGTTTTCTTTTTTGCCAGATCATGATATTAAAATAAAAATAAGTTAGCAGACAGTATAGCCTGGTAAGCCACATGCACATAGGAGAAGGCTAGGTAGGGTCCCTTCTACTCTTTCTGCAGATATTATTCTTTAGCTTCCTTTGCTTTGGGCACAACTATTTTCCATATAAGCAAGTGATAAGACAGAAAAACAAAGTATAGCAAGTGACAGAGGATTAACAGTAGAAAAACAACAACAAAAAACTAGTATATATAATCAACTTCTACCCAATAAAGGGAAGTATTTTATGGTTTATAAATCCTGCAAGAAGTTGCCTAAAGTCTTTACCTCAACAAACATATGCTACTAGGATAATACATGAATCCAAATCAGATCTAGCCTTTTATATGGGCCTAAGAGTGAGAGGAAAGGCTTACTTAACTAGGAAAAAACATCTAGAACTGTAACACTGGTTTCAACCACAATTTTCCACTATCCTTTCCCTTAATATTTAAAGTTGTTTAAACCAAATGCCAAATAGGAAGTGTATCTCCACCAACCAGTAAAAAGCAAGTATTTTTTTTTGTTGCCTTCATTAGGGATTAATAGATGAAATAGGACTATAAATACATAGGGTTTATAAAATGGAACAATTAAAAGATAAAAGCTTTGATTTATAGGAACCATAGAGAACAGAAGACCTACTAAAGAGCATGTGCGATTTAATCAACAAAATCCAGTCTGTGGACAAAAAAGAATGAATTCCTTATACATGCAGCATGGGTGAATCTCAAAAACATCATACTGAAATAAGCCACCTTCCCCCCACCCCAAGGGGTCCATTCATTGTTCCAAAAGCGGGCAAAACTAATTGACGGGGACAGCGGTTGCCTCCAGAAGGGGATGAGGAATGAGAACTGACTGGGCCTTGAGGGAACTTTCTGGGGTGACGGAAATATTTCATGTCAGCACTCTATGACATAAATATAAGAAGAAACAAGTGACCAATTTTAAGTCTATTTATTTAGCCCAATAGGACCAAAATATTATTTCAATATGTAATCAATATAAAAATTATTAATGAGCTATTTCACACTTTTTTTGTACTACTTGAAATCTGGTGTCTTTTAAACTTAGAGCACATAATTTGGATAGTCATATTTCAAGTCTCCAGAGGCATGTGTGGCTAGTGGCTACTTTTGGGAAAGTTTAGTTTTATGTCTTAACTGGGTTGCTGGTTACACAGATGCATCAATTTGTCAAAATTTACCAACTATGCCTTTAAGATTTGTACACTTTTTGTATATGTTATACCTTAATAAATTAATTAATGAAAAATTATTTCATTTTGGAGAAAAAACATAATCTGGTCTGTAGGAGATTCTATAGAGCTAACAATTTCTTAAACACATAAAGTTATAAGAAAAAAAAGAATGAGGGAAAGGGGATAAAATCTACATATTAAAAGAAACTTATGAGGCAGCAATCAATTCCAGTGTACAGATGTTATTCAGATTCAGATTTCAACAAACTGTAAGACAGTGAGAAAGGGGGGGAAGGAGGATGGGAAGGGAGAGAGATTTGGGGATAGTAAGGAATTATTGGGTTTTAAAATTCATCAGTACACATATATTTTATATCTGCTTAAAAGAACCCTTATCTTTTACTGAAATAAACTGATACATTAACAGATAAAATGATACAATTATTACCACTTCAAAATAATTCAGAGTATGGGAGGAGGAGAAATGGGAAGAAATAACATTGGCCATGAACTGATATCTATTTTCCAAAATAGAAAGTTTTAAAAAGTGAAGCCTGTTGGATAAAAAATTATAAGCTGAAACTCATGGGAGAAACAAGAACTATTCATGATTAACTAAAATAAGTCTGTATAGGAAGAATGAGAAATAGCCATGTAAAATTCCCTCATTATGCCCATCCCTTTGAGTGATAAAGAAGTAACATTTTACTTTATTATTTACTTTGTGTAGTAAATAAAATAAATGTACACCTAGGAAAATTAGATTAGTCACACATCTCCCACTTTTGTAAATCTACTCTGTCACTAATATTCAGCATCAAATAGTGAAGCTTCTTGCAGATGATTAGCAAGATTTCCCACCTGATCAGATTTCAAAAGCAGTTCTTAGTTGGAAAGGCATGTAAAAAATTGCTGGGGTTTTAAAGATTCCAATCAAGGAGGCTTTTACTTTGCTTGGAGAAACCTGGTTAAACATTTAAGGATAAGAGAACTCACAGATGAATTTCTCTAGACTTCAATTTTGAGAGATATCTCAGAAAATCATTTTGTTCACAGTAACACCCATTCTATCCTATCTTTTTAATATGATGTTTTTAATGATCAATTCCCCCTCCCCCCAACCCTAACTATATCTCATATAGTCTCTCTGATCAATATGCCTTTCTTGAAGCATCTTATACTTGCCACTAGCAGGAGCGCTTCTGAAATGCTCTTGTTGCAGCATCCAATTGACAGCCTCTCTTTGGTACGGTCTCAACACAGGAATCAATGCAGGATGTTGGACATCCACTTGGATGGACTGTGTTTCTTGCTGATGCGTTTGCTTCACAAAGTGATAGAGCTCATCAATGTCTTGTCCCTCTGGCTCGCTATCTGAATCCTCCTCATCCTCTTCCAACACATCTGTACATTCAACAACAATGTACTCAAAACAACCTGATCCACCTTTTATAACTACAAGGAATTCTTACTTCAAAAACATACCATGCACCCTCTCAACTCTGGGGAATTCATCAGTATTTTGTGACTGGAGGACCCCACTCTTAATTCTCTACTGATCAAAAATCTACCCATCCATCATTCAACTGCTACTTTTTCCATGGCATTTTCCCTCATTGGTTAGAATTAATGTTCTCCTCTGTAATATCTTTATTGTTCTTGTAATATCTTTATACTTTGGATATAGCGACGCATTGCATTCTGTCTGGAAGTGCAATCATCTACGTGTACTTGACCCTTCTACACTGAACTACAGTATTCTTCGAGGGCAAAGGCAGTCTTTTGTTTTTATAGTTCCTCAGAGCTAGCACATGCTTTGCCCACTGTAGATATTTAACAAACCTTTGAGGAACTACGCTTAAATATCTTTTGCAGTTTCTAAAAGGATAATTCATTTCACTTTTATATCTTCATATAAAAATATCCATATGCAGCCATAATTTCTCTTCATCTAATAAGGCAAGGGTTCCCACTGTATATCTTATGCTAAAAAAAGGCTTTGGTAGCAGCTGTAATCAATTAGGAGATACATGTGTAAACTGGTAACACAAATTTGTAAGAATATCCTACTCATTTTTTGGGCACAACTGCCATGTGGAAGATTTGTGCCCATTATAACATGAAAAAAATTTCAAAATCTTGAACAAATTAACAGACCCCCATTAGCTAATGATTTATTTCTGAATTGTTTCAAAAGGTCTATAAACTGTTACAAGACATAATGTTATATCCCCTATGACAAAAAGAGTACCACAAAACACATAATTCACTTTTCTCAATAAAAAATATGTCATGTAAGGTTTTTAAAACTTTACAATTAATGTTTAGTTATATGCTTGGTTATTTCAGACTGTTACTATAATTGTATAATCTAGTATTGATAACTGAATCGAAGTTTTCCTTTGAAAAGTTCATACTGTATTAAAAACAGAGTAATGCATTTAACTTTCAGAAGTCCAGGAGTGTTTAAAATCAATCCTTCCAATTCTGAAACCGGAGATTTGTTTTCCTCCTTTTAAGTTTTTAACATACAAAATGATTTACTTTTATTAGCATTATGAAGCTTTACAGACTCTCCTACAGAAATAACTAACAATCAAGCTAGAAACTTATTTTCCAAATATTTCAGTGTGAAAACTTGCGCCTGAAGTAACACCGTCCTACCATGAGCAGGACTTGGAGAATCTGACCTGTTTTCCCATAGTGCTGATGGGCAGCACCAAGGCATCCACCCTCTCCCCTGGGAACCAATGGCAGACAACTCAGTCCTGACCAAGGATGCAATGTCTTGCCATGAAACAGTAGCAAAATTAGCTGGTCTTTTGAGAATCAGACTCTTGAGACTATTTGTCAGAATGCAAAGGAGAGGTGGAATAGAAGGCCAGCCAAAAATCTCTGGCCACAACAAAATATAAACACAGGAATACTGAAAAATTCCAATCAGCTCAGATCCCTTTAGACTCTGCTTATTGACTCCGCAAACATTTCTTGACTATTTACTATAAGCTAAGCACAGTATCAAGCACACATACAAATTATATTAGTGAGTTCATTTCAAAAAAGTATAATTTTGTCATACAGAGATTTTTGTGGAGGTTGTTTAATTTTTATTATGGTTTTATTAGCTATTTTAGAGTTGGGGGGAAATTGCAACTCTTAAGTAACAGCCACCTTTTTAAGTTTACTTTAAAAATTACCTGTAATAATAAAATTATATAACTTTTCCATCACTCTCTTCATGAGTTGATTGAACTTTTTCATTCTTGAACTTGCATCACTCAAAAAGTCTAGTTTTGCTAAGCCATCTTCCAAAAGATAAATTCCAACCTACAAAGAATTGATCAACATAAAAACATTTTAATTGTACTAAGCTACTCTTTATGAGGATATACGAAAAACATTTTTTACCATCACAATTTAAAACAAATATTCGCAGTATTTGCCTCACAAACACAAAATATATACTTACCAAGTCTCCCTCACATATTTTCACTTTCAGTAACAAATTCATTCCACAAATGCACCACCTGCTATGTGCAATGCACCACTCAAGTTGCTAGGAAAAAAAATACTTCCTTAACTGGACCTAAACCTGGGGGATGTGACGAGAACACCAATTCTACTTCCAAGTCAATGATTTCCAAATTTGATGAGCATTAGAATAACCCATGAAATTTGCTAAGGGTGCAGGGTCTCCAGGAAGATTCTGACACACATGACAGGAAATAGATTTTGGAATCCCTGTTACTAGATCAAACATTAAAGTATAGGAAAACTGAATTTGATTAATGTTTTATGTCTTGATTTGGTGAAGCAATGCAGTATGAAGTTTTACAGTCAAAATATTTAAATTTGAATAATGACATTGGGCCTTGGCTGGTGTGGCTCAGTGGACTGAGTGCAACCAAAGGGCTGCAGGTTTGATTCCCAGTCAGGGTACATGCCTGGGCTGCAGGCCAGGACCCAGTTGGGGGCATGCAAGAGGCAACCCACACTGATGTTTCTCTCTCTCTCTTTCTCCTTCTCTTCCCCTCTCTCTAAAATAAATAAATAAATAAATAAATAAATAAAAATTTTTTTTTTTTTTAAAAAAAGAAGAATGACATTGGTATTTAGGACCTAAATCAACAACAAAATAATTGATTGGTTTTGACCTAAATGTTCTCATTTGCAAAGTGGACAGAAGCCTATTTGAGGTTGCCTAGATGATACAAGTTAAAAACTTCCTAACTGCAGATACCCATTAAGTGAAGTTTCCCTCATTTTCCTGGACCTGATTCCCTAATCATTGATATTCCCAAATTCTTTCACTGAAGAAGTATCCAACCCAGCATTATACAGGAATGTGTGGCAAAGATTATATTTCATTAACATTTTTACTCTGCCTTGTGTTCACTTAGAGATGGCTTGATATAGTAGCAATAGATGTTTAAATAGTTATAAAAATCAAGATCAAGGATCAAAGAATTGATCAAAACTTAATTGTGAGGGAGGTGGACAGAACATGGATACCCATCCATGAATTCTGACCTGTTATCCCTGGGCCAGAGTGCTGGCACCCACCAGCAACCAAGCGAGGGCACGACTGGTTGCAGGGTTTCACTGTCCAGGGAAGAATTAATTATATTTTTATGCTTCTAAACTTTCTTCTTTTTTACTGCCAATTCTGAAACTAAAATAGGGCTACAATGTAATTGCTTTTTAATGTGAGAAATGCATAAGACACAGTTTTCAACTCAACAAAGGTGAATTCAATATATTAGAATTTCTTTGCAAGTTTAAGCATGAAGGTATATTGACCTGCTTCAGAGTTTACAAAGTACATTTATTCACACTATCTCATCTGATTCTCAACACAACTGTATGAAGTAAAAAGAATGGGTATTATTTACATTTCATACAAAAAGAGGCTGCAGTTACAGCATTTAAATGATACACATAGTGACTTGCTAGTGAATAGAAGAGCTTGAGATGAGTAATAAATTTATTCAAATATTCATTTACTGAAAATCTCTTCAGTATCAGGCATTTTACTAGGCTGTGAAAATAAAAGACTTCATAGTCCAGTGAGGAAGAGGATCTAAAAAGTAAGTACACGGTAAGAGACCAAAGCAAAATTAAACATATGCATCAGGTATGATGGGAAAGGGCACATTAACACAATCCATAGAGTTTAAGAAAAGTTCTCCACTGACGAAGTAAACTCTGAGCTGAATATTAAAGAATAATCAGGAATCGTCAGAGAAGAGGAAGGGGACAGCCCAGGCAGAGGGGCCTGTGAAAGCAAAAGTGAAGACGCGGAAAGATGGCAGGGAATGTGCATCTATACGATGAGTAAAAAAGATACTGAGGACCAAAGCAACTCATTAAGAGTAGGGCTGGAAAGGAAGAATCAGGAAGATCTACTGGAAGAAGTTCAGCCTGAAAAAAATTAGCTGTAATATAGATAGAAAAGTGTACACTGAAACTTAATGATAGGCTGGCTTATTGCTGGCTTTTCAGACCTTCGTTCTAAAGGGACTTCAGAGAACACTGCCCAAAGAAGAACCTGAAGGGACACCACAGAAACTGAGTACCTTAATAATGTCATTTCCTTCTGGTTTCTGGTAAAGTTTTATTCTTCTCTTCTTTTGCAGCCACCCCAAATCTTCCAACATTTCACCACTGAAGGATGATTCCACACGGATACCCTTGTCACAAACACTGACTGGCTCGTTGAGTCCTTTTTCTTGTTTCTCTGCACCTATGCATTCTGGATGAGTATGGATTAGGAACTGACTGCTTGACTCTGAACTAATCAGCGTAAAACTCCTTTCAGAAAAGTTTTCTGTTAAACTCTGTTCAGGAAGAAGCTGAAGAGTGAATTCTCCTAGTAACGCTTTCCAAGAATTATCGAAGTGACTGGGAGAAATCACAATATTCAGCTTTGCAGATGAAGGAGAAACACTGTCAGCAGTCTCTTCTCTATCGATTGCTTTCGAGATGCTCACTGTCTCCGGACATCTCCTTTTATCTCTGTGAGCCACGTCTTCCGTTAGACCATCATCTAGGATGACGCAATGTGCAGAAGAGGAATCTGGACCTGGGTCGGGCTGCTCGTCATCAGTGAGGGTGAGGGGTTCATTTCTTCTGTCCTCGTGCATGTTCCAGCAGAGCTGCTGCTGCTTTGCTTCATCTACTTTCACCGGAGGGGCACGTTTCCGTCGGCTGCTCATCTTCACGTTTTCTTAGTTGGTAAATATGAACTCTAGAAGACAAAGGCAACGGTAGGCATTCCAAGAGAGGGTTTCAGAGTTCAGGTGCTCCCAGATGAGAAATTCAGCATCAATTAATAGTCCATACACATAAATAACGTGAAACCTGCAGAGAGACACAAAAAGCAATGGATAATTTTTTTAAATAAGTCAAACATAGCTAAGGAGCACACTGAGCATACATTATCTCATGCAATATATGAATTCTGATGGTCTTACTGGTCATTAATGTTAACAATAATAATTTGTTGCATAAAATAAATTCTAAAAAAACATTTAATGAGCAGCATGGCAATAAAGCAAATCTCTCAAATATCCTAGCAACGCATATTTAAAGAATTTCAGTAACACATAAACTCTTATCATGACTACAGTATTTCAAATTTGTTTTATAATCCCAAATGGTTAACAAAACTTCACTTGATCCTTACGTAGCTGATAAAACCCTAAAAATATACCTCCGCTTTCAAAAGATGAAGATAAAAACACAGACATATATTTCTCTTTGTGGATCATCGGATAACAGGAATAAATGGGGTAGCCTGGCAAGGAATAGGTGGTGGCGGCGACTGGGGGCAACGGGCAGATAAAATAAGAGAAGAAAAGAATGTATGGAGAAAAGGAAAAAAAACCTTTGCTAGCTCCAAAGGGAAAACTGGCCTGAAAGCAGCATCTATGATGTAGGCCCCAAAAGTACCCTTCTTCCAAAATAATAGCTGATTCCTACATGAAACATAGAATAACTCACAGAGATTAAATGATAAAGTCATAATGATGGTTGGGACCTATTTCAACCTATTCCAACCATGTAGCTGGGGGGTGAGGTGGGGGTGGGGAAAGATGTATAAACAATTAAAAACTGGCTTCAAGTGCAGTTTTAGAAAGAGTTCCGAGAATTCCATTTTTCAATAAAATCCAGTCAGGTTATTTACAGAGCCCACACTGTGTACTCAACACTGCTATATTTTAGGAAAAGATATAAAAGAAGCATAAATCAAATTGTGGTTTTTAATTCAGTACAGACAGTAAATTACGTTTCGGTTTCTTCAATCCGAGCACACAGAGCAGCCTACAGCCCTCTCCTCCCACTAACTTCCCATCCCGAGCAGTCCATACCCCTCTACCCTCTCAAAGCCCCCTTCCCTAACTAGTCTGTTCCAAATCTAGGAGAGGATGAAAAATGTGTTTTAAAGAAACAATTCAGAAATACACAGTCCTGCTTAAAACTACCATATGAAACAGCAACAACAAACCATCAGGGAAAATCTTAGTTGACCAGAAACTCAGAGCAAGCCCTAAGAACCATGCAGGGGGAGTCAGACTGAAGAGCGAAGTGATGGTGTGAACTAGTACCAAAGACGTGAGCATCGCCGTGAGGGCTTCCATGTGCAACAGTGGCAGATCTGGTACCAAAACCCAAAGTGGGCCCAGGGCTCAACACAGAGAATAATGGAGCAATAGAGTAGGAACTGGCAGGTCCTTAGCTGCCCTCTCTCTCACAAAGGCAAGGCAGCTGTGGTGCGGATATCTGTTTTCTGGGAGACCGATGCCTAAACTAGAAAGATAGCCATTGTTACTGAGTACAGAAGAAAAAGCTTATGACAATCGACTCTGCCTGTAAGAGAGGTTTTCCACAGTATACCTGAAAAGAACAGAAAACAAGTCCCTTTTGACCATCCCCTTAAGCAAACTGTATAAGCCAAAACAATGAAAGTGAAGCAGGGAATCTGAACTGCAAAGATGAGCTCACAATAAACAATCAAACATTAAACGACCTTCAACAGGAAAATAAATCAATAAACTTTCACTGAAGGAAACAGATGAAGAAATCTAAATACAACTTTATAAGTCATACAATCAACATCATCACATCCTCAGGGAGTATACTGTTATCTTAGGAAGGATTTGTATAAGGACTACATAACAAACTTTTGCAAATCAGTAGTAAGACAACCAACCTTATGAAATATGGACAAAAATTTTAACACATCAGCAAAGATGATCTACAAGTAGCACGTAAGCATATAAAAATATCTTGACCATCATTAGTCATTAAGGCAATGCAAAGTAAACCCACAAGCTACTTGAGAAATTATATATCCACTAGAATGGTCAAAATAAAATACTGAGGAGGTAGTGCAACTAGAATTGAACTCTTATATATTCCAACAGGAAAAGTTTGTCAATTTCTTATAAAATTAAATACATACTTCCTGCACAGCCTAGTAATCTCACTCCTCGGTATTTACCAAAGAGAAACAGAAACACAGGTTCACGAATAAGACTTACACTTGAATGTTCATAGCAGTCTTATTACTAAAAGCCCCGAACTGGAAAAATCCAAATGTCTGTTACCTGGTGAATGGATAAACAATGGAAAACTATTCTGTGATAAACTACTATTACCACATACAATAACAAGGATGAATTTTTAAAGCATCATGCTAAGTGAAGGAAGCCAGATGTGAAGGACTACATACTGTATGATTTTATTACATTAATTCTAGAAAAGCCAAAAGCCCAGTAATTGATAGCAGATTAGTGGTTACTTGCATCCAGGAAGTGGGGAGAGGTGATTAACAGCCAAGGAGCAGGAAGGAAAACTTCGGGGTGACAGAAATGAACATATGCATTTGTCAAAACTCATCAAATTGCACACCTAAAATTGATGAATTTTATTATATGTAAATTGCACCTTAATAAAGCTGATTTAAAAAAGCAAAAACAAAAAAAAAAAACAGATGCAGGAGGGATTTAAAAATTTTAAGAGAATATTAAGAACTTTATTCTAATAAACTTGAAAAATCTAAATAAAAGGGTAGTTCACTTATAAAATATGAATGAAACAACTGGCTCAAGAAGCACAAAAATCTGTGTAGAACAATAACCAGAAAAGAGAAATGAGGAAATAGTACTTACCTACCTAAAATCTACCCTCGTTCCTTGCTCTTGCTGACAGAACTTTTCCTTTATTTAGGAACATGGTGGACTTATGACTTAAAAGGAGGGCAGTTTCCGTGGCAGCCCCACGGAAGTTGTTTCTGTCCGTGTAGTCCCATAAGGTTGCCACGAGCTGCCTGTGGCTATTTAACTGTAAGAGTAAACACTATAACCTCAGCTCCTCAGTCTCAGTAGCCACACTTTAAGTACTCGGTAGCCATGTGTGACAAATGGTTACTGTATTCGTACAAATATAGAGACTCTCAAAAGTGCAAAAAGTTTATCAAAAAGTGCTGGGTTTTGTCAGTTATGGAAGTCTACTCTATAGTCAGCGCTTGGTTCATGAAAGTGCAGGTGATAGGCTATAATCAATCTCTGACTCCAGTTAACTATTTTTCCAGCATCTCATCTCTGCCTTTACCTTGGAAGAATAATATGGCAAACCTCTAATAACCTAAGTGTTTATCTTTGTCCAGTTCTCCTCAAAGCACAGGCAAGAATACTGGAATTTGGTAATTCTGCTGGAACTTTGAGGATTTTGGCTATATCAGCCTATCAGTTAACTACAGCCACAGATATGCTGTATAACACACCACACCGAAGCTCAATGGCTTGAGACAGCAATCATTTATTCCCACAGATACACAGGTTAACTGAGGGCTGGCGGATTTGGGTTGGTCTCTGGATGAGCAGCCGGGCACTGCTTAATGTAGTTCCCATTCTCCTCATGGGACCGGCAAAGCAGCCCATCAGTGTTCTTATCACTGGTGGCGGGGGTATTAAGAGTGCAAACCCAATCACACAGGTATTTTTCAAAGAGCTTGGTCACAGCAAAACCACGAAGTTTCCACTGGCCAAAATAAGTCATGTGGATGAACCCGAAGTCCAGAGGTGGGAAAAGGCATACACTTCTTTTCTGGGTAGATAGAACTGCTCATGGCAAAGAGCGTGGATGTGAAGTAAGGGGTGGAGAGGAACTGGACCAGTGATACAATCTATTACTTTGACCGTGATAGAAACATGGCAATTATGGAATCATTCACTTAAAAAGCCCAAAAAGCAACTGGCTATAGTCTCACATCTGCAAAGAAGAGTGGCCTCCAGGAGAGAAGATTCTAATTCTAGCCTTGGTATTTACTGCGTGGCCTCAAAATAGTTACTTAACCCCTCTGAGCCAGTTTTCTCATTTCTAAAAAGGGGATGATGGCAGGATTGTGCTTACAAATAAAGCATATCATGTTAACAGAAATTTAGCATATACTCACTAAGTGCTATTTGCTATTATCAACATCCTGAGACTGCTATAAACTGATTTAGAACCACCAAACTTTAATGTGGCAGGATAGTAGACCACAGATTAGTCTGTTTCAAACTTGACTGCACATTCCAATCACCTGTGGAAATTTTAAAACATCCTAATGCCCAGGTAGTACCCCAAGCAATTAAATCAGAACTGAGCATACATACATTTACAACTAAAGTCTCATTTTGGTTGAATCTTTTCCTAACGGATCTCTATCAGGGATAAGATACTTATAACCATAATGTTACTTGGAGGTAATAAGTCAAATATTGGTATATCTCTAATTATATTCCAAATCCTTCTCCTGGTTTTCTTCACACCATATGAATCCCACCTTTGATGGTTCTACTTCTTCTTCCTCCTCCTTAAATATCAGTGTTTATGTAAAACATATTAAATGCAGTTTTCTCTAGGGATTGAACTTTTACAGTCCTGCATTTAAATGTAAATTCCTTTTCCTTGAAATGCTCTTTACAATTTTCTGTCATCGTCCCAATCTAACTCCCAAAACCTTCTGTGACAGGCCTGCTGAATTGAGGGCCTCTCCTCCTTGATTCCACCTGCTATGGTGTTCCCAACAGTTCGACTATGAACTACTTAAAGCTGGGCAGCAGTAGTATCCTATTCAGCATTGTACCTCCAATGCCAAGTCAGTGCCAGGATGGGAATGATAAACGAAATAAAGTGAAACAAAGACCTCTAACTCCATGAATACCCTCCCTTATTTTAAGGACCTAATAGCACTTTACTCACATTTCTTCTTGGATAAGAGTCTCTTAAGCACATTCTAGAAGACTATAGGTAATGTGAAACTATTCTTTATTATTTCTGGCCCAGAATGAGACAGACAAAACTGACTGACCTGTATCTTTAATTGCTAGGAAAATAAACAAAATCTTAAGCTAGTAAGACAATAAAACAAATGAGTATCAATTAAACTTAAATTCAGATTTTTTTCTGACCAAATTTTAATCTCATCACGTGACACAAATCCTGAATAACAACAAATCTATGGTAGACCTGGGTCTAGGCTGTTAGGGGCACAGGAGTCTATATTTGCTACATGCATAGGTCCAAGGTGAGCCCTCTACAAGCAAATCCCAATCATTACTGACGACTGAAAAGCTCCCAGCAACCTAACACTACCACAATCGTTTTCTGTACGATAACTCCAGCAGGATGAGAGTACTTTCATCTGTTGAACCTTAAAATATGTTAGTCACATAAACTTGAAAAATACCTCCATAAGACAATTTTTTCACCAGCAGGTTCTGTTTTTCCCCCAAATCTTCCTAGCCGGAACTCTTTATAAAAGATTAAAACAAAATAATTCTGGAAGAACAGTTCTTTTAGGCCAAGCAAAAAGATGAGATACACATATAAATGTAATAGCATCTTTCAAAAGTAAACTATTTTATTCTCAACTGCCAGTTTATTGGCTAACTGGTCCTTCAAAGCTCTAGGAAGCACAGGCTATCCAGGAAAGGTACACTTATCCCACTACTGCTGATTACTGTTTAGTTTTCAGCGTGGTTACCGACCATAAACCAACTAGTCTTTTCGGTGACAGTACAGATGATATCACGAGTCATTTCTAGTCATGGGAATTTCATCATTCTTGTTATTACTCAACAGAATAGTTAAAAATAGCTGTAATGACTAAAAATTTATTTTATTCAGTTAGAGCCTCAAGTTAATTTAAATATGAGCTGGAAAACACCAAACATCTAGGATTTCTACCTCGTGCCTAACGTCGAGGCGCTTAGAAAAAAAAGAACAAGCTTAATATTCATTATTTAATAATACTGCATATCTGACAGTGGCACAATCATCAGATAACACATCTTCGTTCATAAACCTGGCACCTACCACGGAGTCAACGTGCAAGGGTGGTTTTGAATGCGAATGTAATTAATCTGACTCCGAAGGTAACTGAGAACTTTCAGACTAACTTAGAAGCCTCGGCCTCCCCTTTCACGGCATTACAACCTCGCGCTCCAAGAAGATTAGGCAGCTGCCCAGTTCCAGCCTCCAGGGGCAGGTCTGCGGCGAATGGTGATACACACACTCAGTTTTCTTCCGAAAGATCCAAAGGCATTGCGAGGAGTCAGAGCAGGGCTGTCAGCGCCCGATCGCTGCCAGCAGCAGGCCGAGCAAACAAGCTACCACGAGGCCGAGGAGCGCGACAGCAGCCCCTCAGACGCTCCAACAAAACATTGCAGGCCCAAGTCCCCACGGAGAAGCACAGCCTCCTTTCCCACCACCCCATCTTTTCTCGGGGAAGCCGTGGCGGTCCAAAGGCCCGCAAGTCTGGGATGGGGACGGGCCAGGGAAACTCGCGCTGCGGCTCCCTCTTAGCCCTTTAGTTTTCAGGGCTCCAGAACAACCGAGGTCTCCCTCTTTGGGGCCTCCCTCTCTGTCCAGAGTTGTCTTCCATACCCGACCTCTGACCCCTGACCCTCCCTCACCTGAGCGCCTTCCTAGACAGGTTCTCCAAGCCTCTAGATCCTCTCTGCACCAAGGCCCTCCAATGTCGTCTCAGGTTCCGGGCACGCAGTCACCACCCACCGAACATGCGCTTGAAGTGGACACGCGCGATTTATGCTGGTTTGTGTTGGGGTTCCCGGGGGAGCCAGATACCCCAGCTCCTAGCTGCCGGGAGCGCGCCGGAGCGTGGGGTCAATGTGAACGAGCACGTCGAGTTGCCCCGCCCCCTTTCTCCGGCCGCGGCTTCAAGAGCCACTTCTACGCAAGTCCACACAGTTAAAGACTGAAACAGGATACAGTTGGAGTCTCGCGATAGTTCGGCCCACAACAGTAAATGTTACAGGATTGGCTGGAGCTTCTAAGTAGGAGGCGGGCTCTAAACAAATATAAACAAGGGCCGCACTCCTTGCTGAAGGGGTGGGGTTTCTTTGAGACGAGCGACGGAAGTGTTTTGCGGCTTTAATAAAAAGGCAGAAGAGAATTCTGCCAATGGACCATTTTTTATTGCTTCTAGATAGCAGGCACTAATTAGGTACGGATGAAGCTTATCTTCTTCCAAAAAGTTACTTTAAAAGACTGCGGGGAAATATGAGTAAATATTTTAAGTTGAGAGAAGAAACTAGATGTATTGTACTGAAGGTGGCCTTTGTGTATCTTGTCATTTTTTCTTCTCTTCAATGAGAGGTAGCCTCTTTCTCATAGGGGTAGGCTGACGCTTAGTTCAATTTGGATAACTCTGAGAGGCTTCAGCGCCAAGAGCCTGTAAAACAATCTCCAGGAATCAGCAGGCACTCGCTGATTAATGAGTACCTGATAAGGACTCAGCATTATTCTGGGAGGGGCAACTCTGCAGGTGTGATCGCAGAAGCACAAAAGTAAGCTCTTGTCCAGGGGAACGTCCTTTGTAGTTAACAGAGACAGTCCAAAGTAAGTCCATATCCTACTTCGAACAGAACGTCGTCACAGACCTCGATAGTCTGAAAGAGGCTATTTACATAAACTAAACCTTGTAAAATTCGACGCAAATCAGTTTTCCTTAGCCCAGGTTTCAAGAAGCAAGTTGAGAAAGTAGTGCTAATGCTGGAGCAGTGGGCAAGCAGAGCCCCTCTGCCTTGAAGAGCCAATGAGTTACTAGTACAAGACGTGATGTGTTCGTGCACAGGGGTCTGGCCCTGAGTGGGTCTGCCTAAGGGCAGCTGTAGTGTGTGGGTTTTTGATTTCCAGTAGGAAGGATTTCACAACGTGAGTCCAGGTGACTGAGGATACATTTATGAAAGCTAGGAACAGTGAAACAGGGATGGTCCTAGCATAAAAGAAGGAACAGCAGAGCCTAGGCTGGGCTGCCTTAACTCTCTGGAAAGTCAGAGAAAATAGGGCTTTGGGGACAGATTCAGGGGACTAGCCTGGGACACGTGGCCAGCTGCCCATTGCCTTAGAGTTTAGGAGATACGTGCCTGTGAAGAGAGAAGTGGGGGAAGAAGAAGGGGATGGCCTGGCTGTTCCCCCAGAGAAAGAGCCTTCGCCCAGCGCTTGCCGGTCCCTTTGTCTGGAGGCTTCTATCTCTTTCTTACAGGCAGGGATCTTAGTGGAGTTCTCAGGGGAGGGTTTCAGTAGAATATTCATCAGTTCTCCAGGTGTGCCCTTTTAGGGTCATGGTCTCCACTGATGGATTGGTCAGTGACAGGGCAGGGGATCTTCGGTCACTGCAATTGATTCTGGTGTCACCTGCCTGGTTTTGCTGCTTTTCTGGGCCTGGAGCTGAAATATAACGGAGGCCTGGAAGTTATCTCCAGGCAGGACAGGTTACCCTGGGGGTGAGGTCCTTTTCTTCCTGGTTTTGCCCCCCTGCCCTGCTGACCATCTGCACCTGGCTGTAAGTTGTGTTCAGCTACCTGTCCTTATGCCACTTGCCAAGGAATTTTGCTAGCTTCTCATTGTCCTGTCTCAATGGAACATTTCTTTGGGAAATGTAATTTGAAACTCAGTATTTAAATGTATATTGTGCTGTAAAAGGTTATCTTTGATAGTTTTATGTCACTTCTCACCTTTGGAGCAGAGATTTAAACTCAATATTTTGACTAAGTCTGGCTGGTACCAGGCAGAAATATTTAAATAATAAATACGGCATCATTTCTCCTTTGTTCACCTTGATTGGTATAATCAAGCTCCATAGACATAATAATTATTATCCTCTGTGAAATATTAAACTGCAGATCCAGCTGTTTGGAGATGTAATTTCAACTATAGAGATGGATTTCTCCACAGTATCATTCAGTTAAACAAAATTCTTTCTCTTCAATTTCCGGTGGTGTGTTCAATCTTGTATTTGCAAAGCGCCCTGTATGTTCCTTGTAAAATTTCTCTATGGAGTAATATTTTAAAATATTAGATTTATCAGAGCTAAGGTAATTTCAGAAAAAATGGTTCATTTTTGTACCTTAGCTCTCTGGAAGCTCCCGTCTGTGAAATACCTGTTCATCTCCGACAACACTGAGTTCATCCACTTAGCAGATGCTAATGATCGAAAAGCATTCCACAAGTAGGCATTAAGTTATTGGACATAAACCAATCAGTGGATGACTTAGTGATCACAGAGTTCACCCTGTTTCTTCTTGAAACTATAAACTTAATGACAGACCACATTCTTCTCTGAATGGTCTCACTAGGCCAAGGCTATAGCTCCAGTTCCTTTTAGGGACACTTAGCTCTATTCTAGCCATAGCCCTAACTCAGGTCATCTGTTTTAGAAACGAATGTTCTAAGTTTCTCTTAAGGAGAGGAACTGGTTTAGAGAGAGTAGGTGAGTTGATGCACACTCAAGTCCCTTTGAGGGCAGAAACAGTATAACTGATGATTTATAAGAACTTATGTTTTGCAAAGCCCTTTAATGTTCACTGTTTTTTTCATTTTTACAATGACAGTGTTAGATACTTAAAATTTTCACTTTACTGTGAAGGGGTATGAGACTCAGAGAAATTGGCGATTTGCCACAATTTAGCTCTAAGAGAACAGGAGAAACTAGAACTATAGACTCCTCCTTCTAGGCTGTCGTTTCTTATTACTAAGCCATGTTCTCTATCATATAAAAATAAACAACATATCACCAACCTTCCTAGCTTGTATGGAAAAAATTAAGGCAAGATGTGTGTAATTATTTCATGACCCAGGGTGGTATATATCAATAATAAGGATAATTCAGGCCCGGCACTATTTTTTCCTTAAAAAGCTCATTAATAAAATTGCTTGTGAAGTTTATTCTATATTCTACTTATGTTTATCTGCTTTCTGGAATTGAAGTTGATGGCCACTCAGTATGACTGATGCTTTCCCAAGATGAATCTTTGTTGGCATTTGCTCCATTCCCAACTTGTTTTGGGACTGCTTTCCCTCCTGACAGATTGAAAATATGAGAGTCAGAGTTACTATTCCAGAATGAATTACAACATCTGAATCCATTGTTAAAATGTATGTAGTACTCACAGAGAGTAGGAGGAAGTAACATTGTCTTAGAAAATTGGTGCTGGCACATGTATTCAGCAGTACCGAAGGGAGTGGTACTAGGTCAAACAAACAAGTAATGGTAACAGAGGGTGTGGTCGTGCTTTGCTATAGCATGAGCAGGCCATTTTGGGGGTAGGAAGTGTGTGATCTAAATATAAATCATTTTTAAAAAATTCTCACCCAGTATATGTTCACTGATTTTGGAGAGAGAAAGGAACATCAAAGTGAGAGAGAAACACCAATTGGTTGCCTCCCATGCATGTTCCAGGGATCGAAATCGCAACCCAGCTATGTGCCCTGACCTGCAGCTTTTTCGTGTACAGGGGTGATGCTCCAACCAACTGAGCCTCCTGGCCAGGGCCTGAATACAAGTCTTCGTTTAGAATGGCACAGCTTTCCCTCAGGCTAGCCATGGATAGGTTTAATTGTCACCTTTTAATTTAATTTTTCCCTTGGTGATTTGCAAGTCATATTTATTTCAAAGTTCAAAGTTTGTTTTATCTCCCTACTGCAAGCTAACCCTGCATATGGAAAACTCAATGTGTTCCTTCTACTTCTCATAATTTGTAAAGCAAAATTTGTAATCTGTACCCAAAATGCTGCATTGTACATGAATTTATGACATTAGGAAAAGAGAGTTCACCATTTCTTTCTAAGTGTTTGTTTTGGGTGTTAATAAAGCAATGCTTGTGAATCAAGTAAAAGGAAGGATAAAGTTGAAGCTGAATCTGTTGGGGGAGCAAAGATGTGAGATTATATTCAGTGTTTATCAGTGAAGAAAACAGTCTGTATCCTTGGTGTCCTTCCCAGTCTCTCCCCTCCCTCTATTCTCAAATGTTACATTTTCTAGTGGAATATTATTTTCCAACTAATTTTGTGAATATGGTCTAGCAGTATTAAGGAATAGGAATTTGTATGTAGATGAGTCATTTGATGTTTATGACTTAAGTTACATTTATTATTCAGTTTTGAGAAAAATACAAGTAAAGTATTTTTGAATATTTCAAATGTCTGATGTATCATTTCAATGTACAAAAATAGTGATGTAACACTTTCAGAATTAATTGCAAACCTCAAGGAAGCTTAGTCATATTAGTATTAGCATAAAACAAAGCTTGCCAGGGAATGAAGAGCCTCCCCAAAGCTTCCATTCACTAGAAGGACAGCTCTCTGCCCACTCAGACTCCAGCATTTGTCTATTATTTAGGTTAATCTGAACAATGGCAAAATTAGATCTCAGTTCCACATTCTTCAAACTCTGTTAAACTTTCAAATTCTTCTTTGGGTCCTTAAATAAACTTAAATACTTTAAATACTACACTTAAATATATAATGATCAATTATGTCCATATAGCATAACATCCCCATCTTGACTCTTAGCTCCTGAGAATTAATTTTTAAAAACCAAACCAGATCATTTAACCATCCTAGATAATTCTATTGAGTTCCATTTAAAGACAGATGTTTGGGAACCACTTGAGTAGATGATCTCCAACTTATGACCTAAGAGATTAAAAGTCAGTGGTTAAAAAGCAAACTCATATAAATCAAGCCATTATTTTCTATAGCAACG